GGAAACAATAAGTTAGTAGACTTTCACCCACGGCATCGTTTACCGTCGCGTCGTACTTATTATATAGCATTGCCTACTGAAGAAACGTAACTTGTAGAATAAACATGTAAATATTTATTTTTCAATCAATTGCGATACATTTTAGTAGATAATTTGTTAACTGCTGCCAGTATTTTCGTAAATACATTATTATCCTAGAAATTGTAGAGTTATAATGTGAATACGGTTTGACTGTTACTCTATGGATGAAAGAGTAGTCGTTCTCTTTGTCTCAAGTAAACGACAAAATTGTAGGTCGTAAAATGTAAACAAATAAAAAGAAGAAGAAGGTAGCTTATAATGTTAATCTTATGGGACAAAATTAAAAATGTTTTTTTAAGATTTTATAATAATTACGGAACAAATATTTTTCAACAACTAATGGTCGCAAGATAAAGTGGTATAGAATCTTTGTGCAACACATCAAGTTTATAACTTCAGGCATTCTCGAGATTTCGATCAACATAAAGATGCATTTCACCCCAGTATGAGAATTCACTTCGTTCATTCAATAAATAAACATCAGAAAAGTTGGCTTGTGACAATAATAGACTGTTGCAAGTACCATTTTGCAATGATATCAATAAATACCCCCGCCGCAGCAAACCTGCAGACTAAGCGAATTTCAACTCGTCTGATTACATTTTTACTAAAATATTTCCATAAATAAGACATATTATTCCCTATTTAAATAACATTAGATTTAACGAGTGCTTAGGTTTGCTGCTACGGGGAAGATAAAAAGTGTTTTTTGACCATACGTCAATAGTATAGGATGAAATAAATAAATTTGCCAAATTTTATCAATATATACCCATAAACAAGTAAACTACAACAATTTTCATTTTCTCCATAAGAATAACATGGGAATTTTTAATTACACTATTTTTGAATTTTCTCCGTGACCGTTAGGCATACAACAGCGCTTCAATATACTAAATTATTTCTTTTTTTAAGCTCTACAAAACGTTTTAGAAAGAAATCGCAAAATTTTTTGTTTTTAGGTTCAAAAATGGGAAAAACCCATTTTTACCCCATAAAACCCCCCATAAACCCCCGTTCCCATGGTCCGATTATGCTGGATCGCGAACTCGTTCGAATAAACGTAGGTTTACACGTTTGTACCAAATTTCATCAAAATCGGATCATTTTTGCTCGAGTTATCGCGCTAACGGACACATATATATATAAATATATATATATATATATATATGAATTTGAACGGATGGTGTTTTTGGCCTCTAGGGACCTCAAAATGAAAAATTAAATCGGTCTCGGGTCCAGGTCTTACCATGAGTACTACGGTAATAGCTTATTCCCTATATGGGAAATTCGCTAAAAAGAAAGGACCGGGTTCCTTTATTAAAAAAAAAAAAACTGTTTTCTGAACGTTAAGGATAGTAGTTAAATAATGGGATGGTAGAACAAAGAATTCTTGTTAGATTTAGATTGAGACGGTCATTATGTTTTATAGATCAATTTTGTACATGCATAAACTAGATTAATAACAAAACAAGATTCAATCTAAAAAACAAACAAGTTTTTGAAAACGGTCGGTAAACATTTTAATAACTTTTAATGATCAGTTAGGGTTCTGAATTCTCGGATGAAATCCAACTAAGAAATTCATGGTGACTAACAAATCCTATCGCATGATATTTAGGGAAGCAGAATTTAACAATTAAAAGCCACAAATAAAACATATACAAAAGTGGTTTTTAAGGGCCACTTTTGGGTATAGCTCCGTAGCTCACCTGTACGCAGTAACAAGGCTCCACAAAATTTAGTAGCATCATTTGTGAACAAAATGACACCATTTTCAGTTCTATCACTGAAATGTGTACGTTTTGCTGGGTGTTTTTAAAATATCAAATCTCGAATATTGAAGTTAAGGTCAGTGACACATATTTTATTACAAGAAACATGTTTGATGTCGACATTTATCACCAGATGGCTGAAGGTTATGACCCTAATTGCAACAAGTACTTAAGGGTAAAATGCGGAAATGGTTTATGGAGAGTAAAAATGGCCGTCAAAACTTTTTTTCTTTCTGGTCTTCTTTGCGAAGTCTGGGTACCCACCAAAAACACAATTCCTTCCAAAATGAACATTTTAAGGGTCATTTTCAATTCAATTCAAATTCTCTTTATTCATTCACAGTACAAATTTTTATACAATAAATAGCGTCAAATAAATATAAAGATGAATTATGCCTTACTTATCGCAAAAACAATCATTATCTTTACAAAAAAATGCTAAGCCTAAGAAGAATAAACAAAACAAAATTAAATGAAATCATCTTTCTAAACCATGATTTATGATTTCTTTTGAATTCCAAAATTCGTCCAAAGAATACAAAGACAATGAAAGGAGATAATTTTTCAATCTTTTTATTAAAAACATCAAAGATTTTTTCCTCTATTATATTTTTAGGTAAATTAAATAAGAATTTTATGCCAATGAAACTACATTTCTTCTCAAAAAACTTGAATTTATGTCGTTCAACCTGCCTAGTATGCCTTAATTTATAACTTCCAAGCCAATTTTCGCACTTTCCCCTCTATTATAGCCCTAGGGTCATAAACTTCAGTAATCTAGCAATTAATGTCAGCATTGGATATCTTTCTTGTGTTCAAAAATGTATCACTGACCTTATTTTATTTGCGACGGGAGATTCAATAATTAAACATTTTTTTTACACACAGCGGAGTTACAAGTTAGCTATAGAGCTGCAAATTGTATCATTCTGTTCACAAATGATACCAGTAAGCAGTGAGGAGGCTAGTTGCGGCGTATACACGAGTTACGGAGCTATACACAAAAATAGCTCTTGTATATTAAATGGCACTTTTGTGATTGGTCATTTAAGCATTATGTACAAAACCTTATTTAAAAAATCCTAATTTGTACATTAGAAGAAGCATTATCCAAACTTCCAAATTTTAACAATTTTTTTATTAATAAGAAATTTTTCCCTGGTCTCTACACAATTTACCATAGTTTCCATGTAATTTACAGTCTCAAGAATGAGGAAAATTCTACCATAATATTTTATGGTTCAAAGTTTTAGTTTGTGGTTTAGGTAGATTAATGTGCCACAAAAATGGAAAGCCCCTCATAATGTTAGAATGTGGACTAAAGCAGTCAACCAATGTCTCAATTGATTTCCTATTTGTAATACATATCAATAAGCGACTCAAACATGTCTGATAAAAATCAGTTGTATTGCTGTATTCCAATATTATAATTTGTTGCATACATTTTTAGCCATGTATTAATGGGAAATTACTTTAAAAGTGCAACAAACCCATCAAAAATTCAGTTACAATTCAACAAAAAATAAATAAGGACTGACACTGTTCTTTATCACGGGAAGCCTTTCCTTTTTTTCCTGACTATTTCCCTTTACATAAAACTTTTCAGGTTTTCATTTTTTAGATGTCATTACGTATAATGTAACAAAAAACAATATCCATACATTTCTTGAATATTTTTACAGTAGTTATAACGGTATCGCGACGCGAGGCCAACCCAGTAGGCCTATTTTGTGGATGTTATAACAATATTATAAACATGCTGTTTATTTTATGTATATTGCCTCTAAGATTACCACTCCTGTTTGCAATACATACAGTAATAGCAGAATAAAAAAAAATTGTTTCCCCTCTAAAGTATGATTCGTTTTTAAACAAACTAAACTTCCTTTTCATAAACTTTCTTTTTTATGACATAATCTTTAGCGACAGAAACACTAATTCAATTAGTAATTTCATTCCTATGTTTAAGCTATGGCCAGTTTTATGATTAATAAAAACTTCCTTAGACCACAGAGAAGTACGGAGAAAACATTTAATGGTACGGTACACTTAAGCCCTGTCTAGCACTAGTTGCTGGTCAACAACTCCCCCCACGCTCTTGTACCACAACGCTCCTGGTGGAGCAACACAAGATATCCTATCTCACAAGATAGGAATTTCCACACAGTGCTAGCCGCTCAGATTCTTCCTTGAACGTCACAATTATAATTCCGACCTCATCATACTAGAGATGAAAGCGCATAAGTTAGTCGTCCCGGAAGCAAGTTCCCTCTGTACCTTACTTCTCCGTGGTTGAAATAAACCAATAGCTTTTGAAACGCTGCTGTAGAATACTGTTTACTTTCTTTTACAGAAACGTTTTAACCTTGCCCAACTGAAAGAGCAATTTAATTTATCATAAACTATGTCATCTTATAAATCCTCACCTATTATTGGACGAAAAGATAAATTTGAATTTAAATAGCAGCATTCTCAAAGTTACTCTAACTTGTAGCGTTCATTTCATTCAAAATCTCCTTAAATGTCAAGCTGCAGCTGGTTTATTGAGATAGGATGTGTACTTCAGTAAACTAAATTTATTAACATTAATAAAACAACAGTGAAATGTCTACACTTTTATCTTTTAATTACTAATTGTAGCCTATGAACTATTATTTTGTATACTAATATAATCATTTACGACCTAGGTGATAATATTTAACTTAACATTTATAATTAACTTTTTCATCCAACATAGCTAACTAAGCAATTCATACAACATAATCTTCTGTAATAATGACATGAGGTAAAGGTAATTTTGGGGTTATGGTGAAAGTTAGCGATTTAGAGTTTTAGTCTTTAATCTGTCAGAACCTATCATCATCTTACACACAAAAACCTGCAATGTGCTTCACTCAATTTAGTATTTTGTCAATAATTAATTACAAGTGAAAATACTGAAATAAAATATCAGTGTTTTATTATAAACGTTACGATAGATTTAGTTTAAACATCATCCCAATTTAAAATAAATCACTGAGGAAAAATATATGCTCTCGAGTTTCAACTTAAATCTTTAATCTGGATTGCATCTGATTGTATGAATAAAACATTACGATAGGCCTAGCAAATTAAAACTTAAATTGAAAAACATTTGAGTCTCACCTTTTTCAACAGGGCGAGTGCGGCGACTTCTGTCTCTCTGGGGTTTGGGTTCTTCTGTAACATTACAGTTAATTTGTAAAAACCTACAAAGATGTTTAAATGAATATCTAGATAATTGTAATATTTATTGATTTTACCATTACAGTAGGTACTATTACATAAAAACTCCCGCCGCAGCACACCTGCAGACTAAGCGAATTTCAACTTGTCTGATTACATTTTTACTAAAATGTTTCCTTAAATAAAGCATATTTATTCCCAATTATTTAAATATAAGATTTATCAAGTGCTTAGGTTTGCTGCTACGGGGAAGGTAAAAAGTGTTTTTTAACCATACGTCAATAGTATAGGATGAAATGAATGAATTTGCAAAATCTTATCAACAACAAGTTTACAAGTTGTTCATTTTTATAAACAAGTAAACTACAACAGTTTTCATTTCCTCCATAAGGAATTTTATATTAAGATTTTTTTTAATTTTCTCTATGACCGTTAGGCATACAACACCACTTCAATATACTAAATTATTTCTTTTTTAAGCTCTACAAAATGGTTTAGAAATAAATTGAAAATTTTTTGTTTTTAGGGTCAAAAATTATAAAAAACCCATTTTTACCCCGTAAAACCCCCTGTTAACCCCTGTTCCCAAACTCGTTCGAATAAACGTAGGTTTACACGTTTGTACCAAATTTCTTGAGTTATCGCGCAAACGGACACATATAGGCTACTGGGTGTCCATAAAAACATTTCAGGACTTAAGGAAATGAATCCTCATACTAAAAGGAAGAAAAAAGTTTATGTAAAGGTATGTCCGAAAATGCATATTTACCCAGTTATCCGCCATTATACAACATACACAAGACCTATAATAGAAAAAATAATAAAGTTGATCCGATTGTAAATTTTAAAATGGCAGCCGTTTCTATTCTAACTTAAATAACTCAAAAACGGCTAATTCCATAAAAAAATGTCAAGAATACTTTTTTAAGCATTATTAATTCCCAATCAAACAATACCAAGATCAAAAAGATCGGACAAGAAATAAAATAACTTAAATAGAACGTTTTATGTGTAAAAATGAGGCGCAGAGTTAGTCGGGGAACCCTTAATTTTGCTTTATTTTGTCATTTAATGTCTCATAAAGATTATTTGACTATAACTTAGATCACTCTTTAACTTCCAGAAACGCCTCTTAACAAGTAAAAATCTTTCATTGTAACAAACTTTTAAGTAGTTCCATTTATGTCAACATGTTTGGGACAGTACATGTATAAGTAGTTGGCTGGATCCAGAAATATTTAACACTTTTCTGCAAAAAAAAAACATATATCTTGATTCAAACAAAGAAATTGCCATGACCACTTAAGCGACACTGCGTGTTGCTCTGGACCTCACGGCCACACGGACGGGAGCAAAACGCAGCAACTAAACTTGGTTTGGATGGATTCATGTTTCTTGTTCACTTCAAAAACCTGTCATGGAAGAAATGCAGCATAATCACGTGAATCTAGCAAACAACTGCGGATTCCCACTAGGTTTCAACGTTCCTAGACCTCAACCGGCACGAAAAAAATGTATACTTTACTGCATGAAAAAAAGCACTTGTGGCCTAGTACAGTGGGAATTGAATTAAGCTAGTATTTACTGCCTAAAAAATGTCCATGTGGCCGTAGCCTAAATGCTAACATTCCAACATATTCATGGAAATAGGCTAGCTTTCTGGCAAATAAAGAAGAGCTACTACCATTGCCAATTGAGAAGGGGACACAACTTGGTGTATTGACTATTTACCACAGTACCTAGTATATTTCTGAAAGTTCACGAATAACAAATTCAATTGACTCTATAAATGATCTCGTGAACATAGTTTTTTTTTTTCACATTCACGCTGCTTGAATTCCCACTGTTGTATGATACAAGTGGGTTTTTTTCACGCGGTAAAGTATACATTATTTTCACACCGATTGAGGTCTAGGAGCGGCAAAACCCAGTGGGAACCCGCAGTTGATTGATGGATTCACGTGATCATGCTGTATTTCTTCCATGGCATGTTTTTGAACACTATTGAGAATGACTAAAGGTTGACCAGTGGCTTACATTCAACTTCAGTAACCGGTAAGTACACTGTTCCAATATAACTTTAAAGCTACTAAAACTTTTATGTTTTAAAAGCATAAATTTACCTTTTTTGTTTTGGTTAGATTTTAACAGGGCATCTAGGGACTGTGCTAGATCAAAGTTGTTTCCTATCACAGTTTCAACAACAATATTCTCAGGGATGGAATCTCCAATAACACTGTGAATTTCGTCTAGACAAGAGCGTAATCTAGCTTCGTCTACGTCGCTAAGTTGTGGGTACCTGTAAACATAACAGGGTATAATGCTACTTAACATAAAGAAATATTAATCTCCAAATAGGAAGCATACTTACATTAACAACACTAAACAAAAATAGAATATAACTTAAGACAACCAACGTTGTTCTAGTAAAAACTAAAATTTAGATGATAAAACCAAGTCTTTCAAAAAGTTTTGGTTGTTTGGACTACAAATTCTTTCAACAAAACAATCCCATCAATATCACAGGGCCTTTGGTATGGTATATTTCATCACTAGGGCGTAAATTGACTCTTTTTTTAACGGAGGTCACGTTTTGCAATTGAGGTGAAGTCCAGGGCGGGATATGAGCAAGGGTTAAAAAGACACTTATTGTCTGTGTGGTGAACTTTTCCTCATATTGCATCATTAATTAACAAACTAAGCTAGAAAACAGAATTTTTTTGTTAAGATAACCTCTCACAACGACTTTCAGCTTGTTTTCAATTCTGCTAATACAAATACCGTAAGCAGCTGTTTAGTAAGTGATTCAATCATTTCGTCTATAACGATTGTGTTACAGTTCATTCATTTCACCATCGATACGTCGAGCTATCGACAACAATAGGCTAGCACCTTACCTAATAAATCAATTGATGAATAATTTTGATTGATACGATAAGCACAATCTAAGTTTAAACTGTATACAACAGCTGAATTTTACTCCCTTGGGACTAAAAATGATTTTTACTCCCTAGAGACTAAAAATACTACTTTAGACCCGCAATGCATGCATTAAAAACGGATGTTTTTTGCTGCAGTATGACGAAAAAGCTTTTATTAAGGCAGAGAAATTTAATTTAGGCTACCTAAAGCTATCAGAATGTCGTCTCTCAACTTCAGGTTCAATATCTTCATCAACCTCTTCAATGTCGTCTTCTTCTGTTATAAATGCTGAGATCTGGGTTTGCCGGTTACTACGATCGTACATAAAAGCAGCTGAAAAAGAGAATAGTTTATGTTGTAAATTTCTACTAATGTGTTTCATCAAGGATCATACATTGTTTACTAAATGCTTGGGTAATCAACAGGAAATACTTTAAAATAATGAAAAATCTTAATGGTTGTTTAACCCTCTTAGTGTCAAACAGTGCAGGAGTTTACATTGTCTTTTAGCTCAGTCAATTTCAGTCTGATTGGGACTGGATTTATATTACTGTAAACAGCGGAAAACTGGACTTCTCCGGGGGTCTGTTTCTATAACCTTACTTTTGTTTTTCTTTTCCCAGATGTTTAGAGAAAAGTCAATGTTTTGATTTCCCTGTTGAGTGTTGTTATTTACAAGTTGTTTAAGTCACTATAATTTCTTTATTGAAAATTGATTTCTATTTGTACAAGTATTTAGATGTACAAAGTAGGACTAATCAATAATGACTTGTTGACCAACTAGAATTTGTTGGTTTTTATGTGTTTGCAGTAATGTTTTGAAGGTCATCCGTAAAGGCATAAAAGCTATTGTAATAGGCATGATTTAGCGCCTGTTCCTCTATCATTTATGACTTATAGCTATCCAAAAAATTATTAGGACAGTAAAAATTGGTTTTTGCCTGGAAATAATTCCTGGAAAGCTGGAAATAGTTTTAATCCTTTTATTTTATATTGAAGTTATACTCCAATATAAGGCCCCAGCCTACACTTGACCTTAGCCATTTAATTCTAAATATTATGTCAAACAACAAAATATATGAATTTTGTTATGGCTTACTTATAGGCCAGTAAAATTAGTAAAAAAATTGGCCGTGCCTGGAAATAATTCCCGGAAAGCTGGAAATCGTTTTAATCCTTTTGTTTTATATATAGAAGTAAAAGGATTTGAAGTTTGTCCCATTAAACCAGGTGAGCTTCTGACCTGAGACCACAAAAACCTTGAAATTTAGGGTTATTTTTTAGTTTTTGCTAGAACGTCAATAAACCGTCCAGCCTACAGAAAAAACACATCATAATGGAATTGTAGAGCATAAAATTCCGCATCCATTGAGTATCTGTTGATGAAAATCGAACCAATAATAAGTTGTTTATACTAATTTAAAGAATGTTATTTTATTAAAAAATTATTGAACATTGTATCTTCAACCAACATAACTAAGTAATTTAACATTTAAATTACTTCTAGAAAATGGATTCAAAGTACAATATTATTTACAACGTAATTAATACGATTTACAAAAGACTGATCAGATTTGTTGTCTCTTTTGTGGTGAAGCCGAAACTGCAGGCTTCCTCCCCCTCTGTACGTGCGTCATAGCTTATTTATTTGTTGTTTCCTTTCTCTGGTGGATTGGTGCAAGAAACAACTTTACAGTGCAACATTTGACTCAGTTCTTCCTACAAGTGCAACCACTTTTACACCCTTTTGCACACTTACATTACATGAGATAGTTCGCCAGAACATTTGTTGGTTTTGGAAGTATCCTATAAGTAATATAAATGTCAAACATGCAATTTTCAATAATTTCTTAGTAAAATAACGTAAATCACTTATTATTGGTTCGATTTTCACCACCAGATACTCAATGGATGCGGAATTTTATACCCTAAAATTCCATTATGATGTGTTTTTCTGTCTGCTGGGCGGTTTTTTGACGTTTTAGTAAAAACTAAAAAAATAACCCTAAATTTCAAGGTTTTTTAAGGACTTTCAGCTAATAATTAATTTGTTTATTAACCAAAAAATATGAAAAATTGGCCAAAGGTACTTCAAAGTATATAAATTATAATCACTATAAAATTCTCTTGTTACTATTTCTATGAGCTTAGACCTGTTTAAAAACCTCTCGGAAAAGTAAAAAAATTACTAAAAATTTAAATTCAAGGATTAACTATCTTAAGTTTGGTGATCATATTGAAAAACAACATAGTTATTGCCCTAAAAAGTCAATTTTATGGAGTTAGGGGGGGGGGCGTACACTTACCCTGTGTTAAAACCCGTTTGGGACATGGGTACTTTTTCCCATGGGGCAATTGTACGTCCCCAAATAAATAACTAATAAATTATCTAAGAATAAAGAAAACTTGACTAGAAGAAAAATAAACGGCAAGTATGATAATGACTGGTGGTAGGCTACACATGAAATGGAATGAAATAGGCCTACCTAGTTTATTTTCTGTTGATTGCTTACATGAAATAGGCAATGTTATAAAATCAATAAATTGAAAACAGATTGTCATAAATCTATAGCCTACAACTAAAACATAATTTCTACACATGTACAAAAAAAATTCATATACATTGTAAAAGGGATTGTCTGCCGATGTAGGGCTAAATTATAAAACAACATGCTACAGTAAGCTAACACAACTCCCCGAAAAGTCCAACTCACCATCACTTGGAGAAATACAGCTGTCGTCTTCTACCGAATGGCCATAGACATCATCATACCCATCATATTCTGTAAAAGAATGGGGAGTTACACAAACAACTATGGTAATAAGTACTGTACTAAGTTTTTTTTTTATATTTTTATATATATAAATCTTTTTTGACATTTAACTTTTTTTTTGGTTATTTTGATTTTTTTCATTCTCTATAATTTTTTATATTATTATTTTTGTATTAATGTTGTGTTTTGATTAGATTTATCACATTCATTTTAATTTTGATTTCATTGTCGTTCTGTTGCCTGATTATAATGCTTGTATGTGTTCCTGGAAAATTTTCTTGAAGCTACAACCTGTTTCCGGCCAATGTAGAATTAATCAGCAGTCTGTACACTTTATTTGATTTATGCTTGATCTGTTCATATCTTTAACTTGGTTGTTACATGTTTCATTGGAAATGTTGTTCTTTCATCTGAAAGGCATTATTCTTTTGTTAGCTGTAACTTATTTTCAAATTTGAATTTCCGAAGGTTATTCTTGTTGTTGCTTTGTTTATGGTTGTATTATATGGGAGATGCAAATATTTTAATTTTTTTTTTTCAAACAATCTTTGTGTTTGAAATTTTAACTTAATTTTCATTCGAATCATTTTTCCAAGCATGGGAGATTTGTATCCATTTTTCGAGGCTAAGTAAAGGATGATGTTTTTTTTTTCTTTTTCAAAATCTTTGCTCTGACATCGGGATATTTACTAGGCCTAATCGATTTGTCATTGAATGAAAAGTTGACAATTTGTGCTGCCACGAGAGATTTGTTTTTGATGGTATGGTATGATTATCTCTGTTATAGTTGGTTTTTGGTATATTTTAAGCGTTGTGTATTTGTGTTTCTTTTTAAATTGTTACGTCTAGAAAATTTGTGAATTTTGTATTTCTTTGGATAATTTAATTTGTGTGAAAGAGAATTTATGTGTTTAAGTAAACTTAAACATAGTATTTACAATGGGCTACATGTAGGCCTAGTCCAAAGAAGATTTCTCAGGTGCCGTTTGACGTCACTAACTGCTGACGTCACTTTGAGGGAACACCAATACCGCAACGATACGGTTTTGAGCCGTCGGCTCGTTGGTGAAGTGGATAGCATGGCGGGCTGATAATCTGAATGTCCCGAGTTCAAATCCCGCTGATAGCACTAACTTTTTGTCAACATTTTTTTTCATATCAGCTAGTTTGGATAGGTTAAATGACAGTACAATTTTATAATTAAAAAATTATAAAATTGAATTTTAGGCATTTATAATTTTACGTTAAGAACAAAACTATTTTTTTTATTAGTAAACCTTCATTCGATTTTTCCATCATCAGCACGTTTTGGTTACGATATGACAGTTTAATTTAATAATAGAAAAATTATAAAATTGTCTGTTTCTTCAGACGCAGCAGTTAGTGACGTCAGCAGTTAGTGACGTCAAACGGCACCTGAGAAATCTTCCTTGTGCCCCACCGGGCCTATTCAAGTTACTAGAATAACATAAGATTAGGCCAGGTTAGTTTTTAAATGCTATTTTTTTAAACAGGCCTATTAAATCATGTTGGCCTATTTAGGCCTAATTTAAGTTGGTCAGTAATAAACTGAAAATCAGAATTTTTGTAAATTGAAGCTTGCTGTTAAATGGCTGAGCAATTTAATTTAAGGTGGTAGGTCCTTTCCCTGGTCAGGAAAATGACCGTAGGTCAAGGATTTGAATAGTCTGTCAGGTCTCGTGTGCAGGTCACAAGAATTCACCTAAGTTTTGCAACTGCTTGGTGGGATAGGACCAAGAATAAGCTAATAACTACAAGCCAATAAGTCATTTATTTAACCAAAATAACATATACATGCATTGGTAAATGTCATTTAACAAAACATACAGTTTCTTGATTTCAATATGAAATAATAACAAACTGTCTAATTTTTTTTAACTTGCAGTAAGAATACCTATGATCAAACAAGTTTGATAGTTTTTTTAGCCGTCAGCCAGGAACTTACGGAGGCTTTAATAAGCTTTCTTTTAAAAGAAAATATTTTAGGGTTTTTGTAAATTTCAGAGATGGTTTGATACTGTTTTGAGATGAGAGGGAAGATGGTTGAACATTTTTATTAAATTATATCGGAGATGGTTTTGAAAGGAGGAAGTGTGGTGTCTAGTCGAACTGGGAGGGTATTTGTGGATCTCAAACTATAATGATGGTCTGTTGGAGTGTTAAACTTGCCAGTGTTTTGATGCAGAAAGGATACCTAATGTCTTGTAGATGTAGAGACATGGTAACGTTAATATTTCGGATGATAGAAAAACTGGTTTACACAACTTAGGCCTAATTACACATTTCCGTGTCGTGTGCTGCCTGTCTGCATGGTAGGCTAGGCCTTATTAACTGTAGTTACATAATCACATAGTATCTTTAAGCTGTAGCCTATTTTTAACTACATATAAGTATATAGTTTTGTTTTAAATGTTAGGTCTTTTGTGTTGGCGTTTTAACTTATGTTGCTAAGCTTAGGCAACCTTAACTTACACATTCTATTCCCACATCTAGAGGGTCTAACTTACGTGTCATTACCCTTGGTGTATTAAAATGGCTGTCTTGGGTATGCAAGTTACATAATAAAATGGCTGGCTTGAAAATAGCTAAACTGCCGGCAGTAGGCCTAGGTCAAATTTTCGTATTGATACCCTTAGCGTCATACTGTACCCTAAGTTATGACGATACCTTCCTGTATGCAATTTCTATGTACTTCAGATTTACCGGTACCGATTTACGCATTGATACCCTTAGCATCATACTGTATGACAATACCTTTCTAGGGTTAAATTGGCATATGTAACTTAACCTATGCCTAGGCCTACTCATCTTAGATTAGATGCCAAGTTTAATGTAGCCTATTGACGAATAAGCCTACATTGTAAACAACTTAATGGCCGAAATAAATCTTGAACCTTGAATCTCTGGGATAAAATATGCTAAAATCATTTAGGTAACAACTGTTCCATTCTAAGCCTAGGCCTACTTACCATCAGAATAGTTCATAGACCTAACATTTCGATGGCGTGACATTCTATCACAATGAGATTAAGAGCCTAAACCATTTTCAGGTTTTAGCACAACAAAATAATATACTATTTTACAAATCAACTAGGCCTAGTTTATATTTAAGTTAATACGTATTGTTTTCTTGCAGTTTAAAACAAAGAATTCTACGTTCGCACTACACTTCACACGTAACGTAACAATAGTAGTAGTAGTAGTACCAATTAATTACAATTACATTGATGATACCAGGAATATTATTATTCCAACAAGTCAAGTAAGTAGTAAAGTAACTGAACTGAACTTTAGAACTCTTTACACACACTGTTCTTAGTTCCGATTGGATCAGATTGAGATTAGGTCACGCACGACGCACGGTCGTCGGGTCATCAGTGTCAGAAATTTTAGCTCAGTGGTGTCAGACAAAAAGACAACGAGTGGGACACCTTGCTTGCTTGACACTCTCTGCCTGCACTCTGCTGCTCTGACAGTGACAGTTGACACAAACAGTACAGTCAGTCAGAGTCAGACCTCGGACAGCATGAAGCAGGAGAGTGTGAATTGTACCATTGATTATTTTTATACTATTAATTTGTACAGTTCATTCCCTACTATTACGTTTTTATGGATTTTTAACGGTCAATTAATGTAAAATGTTTTAAAAAATGTAAATCTATCTATACTATTATAAAATACCCCCGCCGCAGCAAACCTGCAGACTAAGCGAATTTCCATTTCCCTGAATGGATTTACACTAAAATGTCTCCTTAAAATTTCACATTTATTCCCTATTTAAATAGAATCAGTTTAAAACATACTAAGGTTTGCTGCAACAGGGAGGGTAAAAGTGTTTTTTTATGTAAAATGTTAATAGTTAGTAAGAAATAAAAACATTTTCCAAATTTGGGCAAAATATGTTTATAAACAAGCAAACTACAACAGTTTACTTATTCTCCATAAGAATAACATGGGAATTTTAAATTTACAATTTTTTGGAATTTTCTCCGTAACCATTAGGCGCATTATAACGCTTCAATATACTAAATTATTTGTTTTTTTAAGCTCTACAAAATAGTTTCGAAAGAAATTGCAAAATTTTATGTTTTTTGGGTCAAAAATGGGAAAAACCCATTTTTACCCCATAACAGCCCCCATAAACCCCCGTTCCCATGGTCCGATCATGCTGGTTCGCGAACTCGTTCGAATAAACGTAGGTTTACACGTTTGTACCAAATTTCATCAAAATCGGATCATTTTTGCTCGAGTTATCGCGCTAACGGACACATATATATATATATAAATATATATATATATATATATATATATATATACCCCCGCCGCAGCAATCCTGCAGACTAAGCGAATTTCCATTTGACTGATTTGATTTACACTGAAATGTCTACTTACAAATATAACATTTATTCCCGATTTCAATAGAATTAGTTTAACAAGTACTTAGGTTTGCTGCATCAGGGAGGGTAAAACTGTTTTTTTTTTTTGTAAAATGTTAATAGTTAGTAAGAAATAAAAACATTTTCCAAATTTGATCAAAATATGTTCATAAACAAGCAAACTACAACAGTTTACTTATTCTCCATAAGAATAACATGGGAATTTTAAATTTACAATTTTTTTTAATTTTCTCCGTAACCATTAGGCGCATAATAACGCTTCAACATACTAAATTATTTGTTTTTTTTAAGCTCTACAAAATGGTTTGGAAAGAAATTGCTAAATTTTATGTTTTTTGGGTCAAAAATGGGAAAAACCTATTTTTACCCCATAAAACCCCCCGTAAACCCCTGTTCCCATGGTCCGATCATGCTGGATCGCGAACTCGTTCGAATAAACGTAGGTTTACACGATTATACCAAATTTCATCAAAATCGGATCATTTTTGCTCGAGTTATCGTGCTAACGGACACATATATATATAAATATATATATATATAAATATATATATATAAATATATATATATATATAAATATATATATATATATATATATATGAATTTGAACGGATGGTGTTTTTGGCCTCTAGGGACCTCAAAACGAAAAAAAAATCGGTCCCGCGTCCTGGGGCCCATTTCATAATAAAGTACAAACTAATATTATTAGTAAATCAGCTGATCGCCCAATGCAAATCTTATGGAAATTACAAGTTACAAGTTGTAACTTGTAACTTGTAGTTTATTATGAAATGGGCCCCAGGTCTTACCATGAGTACTACGGTAATAGCTTATTCCCTATATGGGAAATTCGCTAAAAGAGGTGGTGTCTGTGTGTATGGGAAAAGTAAACGCGAAAACTACTGGTCGGATCGGGCTGAAATTCGGCATGATGATAGCTCATATTCCCGATTAACATATAGGCATATTTTTATCCTAAAAATCCTTCCGGGCTCCGCCCCAGTGGCTCTGGAGCAAAGGTTCCCATGTTAACCTTATGAGAAATGGAATTAATGAATCTGAACAGCTGTTTCAATTAAACAAGTTGGTTCTGTTCTATGATTTTCAATAGCATTCAAGTTACAAGGATTACCAACAGGGTGCAGCACTAGCATTATTTCTTTTACATTTATGACAACAGCTAATTTGCAACCAAAAGGTGAGTGAGCGTAGCGAACGAACTTCAACCTGGAGGCGAGTGAGCGTAGCGAACGAGCTAACCTGAAGGCAAGTGAGCGTAGCGAACGAGCTAACCTGAAGGAAAGTGAGCGCAGCGAACGAGCTCCAACCTAAAGGTGAGTGAGCGTAGCGAACGAACTTCAAAAAGAACCGAAATTTCTTAAACCATGTCCTCACTCATAACTGCTATAAGCATTTGATACTTATATGCCAACCCCGTACGAAGGACGGGTACTCTGCTAGTTATTCATAAAATAATCTGTTTAAAATTATTGTTTAATGTTGGAACAATTCAACTTACAATAACCATAGATAAAAACATGGCAATAACGTTACTAAAGGATTCTTTTAGACTTCTCTTTGAGAATGTTTCCTTGTACAGTTGATTTTTTTTATTCTACACTTAGTTGGGGTATAGTGAAGAATCGATGAAAATGAACTTATTTCTTTGAGTTCAGTCATAGATAAAACGTATGTCATCACCAATAAGCTGCAAAAGTAGTTTATCCAAATTTATGCCTATCGTTAGTAGTGGCTGACACGCTAGTCCTATAAGCGCACTCTCACTATATTCAACACCTCCAACAGCCAAAAAGCAGTAGCGGAGATAAGGGCCCCCAGAGAATTAGGCCATAACTTATCACAGACTGGAAAAATACAAATAAATAGACCTAGATAAACCTAGATAGATAGCCTAAAATGGTGTAAACAAACGATTTTGATTTTAGCAACCTATTTAAGCAACGTCTGTTAGTAGTATCAAAGTGGTAGTATCAAAGATTACATATGCTTGACTATATATACCTACAGGTATATATAGTCTAGTCAATGGTAGTATTAATAGTTTTGTTAAATCTTTAGCTATTTTGAAAGTGAGTTTATGTTGGCCACTCTGCACCAGTGTCGTCACAGTAAATAAATGTGTCATCCCGTCATCCTTGTCATGGCGTAAAATTTTGTTATTGCTCTGCTCTGCCTAGTGCTATATTCCAACCGGGATTGTTCAATTGTAAACTTGGTGAGTGAATTCTTTAATACTCTGAGAAATAAGTCAACATTTTACAATACTCGACATTTATTTGCGTTTGTATTGTTGAATAATCAGCCTTAACTACATCGTAATAGAACTGACATTTTTGATAGCCTACTACTTGGTTCTGACATGGTCCCGAATTAACTTGCACACAGGGTATAAAAATAAGTCGTATGGTACATTTCCTTTAAAGTTATGTTACTTTTCGGTTTTTACTTCAATTATTATTTTAGACATTGAGTTAAACGTATAGGCTATTAATAGTTAATCTTTGTATACTCATTCCAATTTAATGTCATTAATTTATTTGTTTAGTCAACCCCAACCCTAGAGATAGGAGTGCACCCCTCTTCCAGAAGCAGACCTAGGCGTCGTGTTAGCAGTAATTTGAACCTAGTTCCACCTGTTTTGACAGTTAAAAAAACGGGTACAGTTTCTTAACTGGGCTACACTAATATTGATTGAAACTATCGATCCGATTAGTAAACCTTCATACGATTTTTTCACCATCAGCAAGTTTGGTTGGTTAGGTTAGGTTATGGTACTGTAGTTTAATTTGTAATTATTTACCCTATTTACACTGGGATTTTATGACTTGATCATCTCACAATAACATTTTAATTTCTTACTATGTCCTTAAAAATAAAACCAAAGAAACTCTGTTAAAGAATGCGGGACCATCAGGTATTAGCAATAATTTTGAATTTCCCGATTCTATCCACAGACTTTTTACCGACCATTGAAATTGCCATACAATTTCCTGTTAAGTACCTATCTCAATTTAACTGTGGGCTGTACACTCTGGTTAGTATTTCAGAATATAAATAACTTTGTTTTAGCAAATTTTCTTAAAGGGAAGAATCATAGGTGGCACGGTACAACCTAGACCCGGGAAAAAATTAACTTAGTCATTTTTATGTCACCAGAGGTCAAAAATTCCAATTGATATAACTTAACCTATGTGTTTGTCCGTGAACACGATGAATCGGTTAAGTTTTTATGAAATTGGGCACAACAAGTGATTGAGTTCGTAAACCAGCAAGAAGTTAATAGAAACCAAGCTTTGAACTTACCCCTCAAACTTGAAAATACCCAATCTTTATTACAACCATTGTGTAGAGCATAAAAAACAAATAACTTATCGTTGCTGTAAAGGTTACTGAGAAAATTTTATAAAACTGTACCATCCTTATATGGTAACGTGAAGGCGATTTCTACGAAACACTACTCCTCCGTTAATAATGGACGGATTTTTACAAACAACGTGTCAAAATAAAGTATTTTTTGTGTAGACGCCCCCTTTCAAAGTTGGAGTTTCTTCCATAAGTTTAACATGGGGTAATCTAAATATTAAATTGGAAACTTTGTCCCCACTAATTTGAGAGAACGGCTGGGTGTAGAAACTTGGTAGAGGTGTCCAAAGAAAGGTCTTTGTCTGTAGATGAGTTACAAAAAGAAAAACTAAGCAAAATTCCTTAGGACTCTGCCCCAGAAGCCTTTAAAGATCCCTTCACAGAGTTGTTTACATTTTGGTCATGTGAATAATACATTTTAATGAAACAGCTGTTCATTTTTATTAGGGAATTTCCCATAGGGAATAAGCTGTTTAAATTGTATTTCAAACGACACACATTTATTTGGAGTTAGGCCTACTGAATTCTACCAAATAAGTATTTATTTTCTGATTTTAAAATTGATTTTCTTCTTTATCATGTCATGTTTTGCAATATAACGTTCCATTACGAAATCAGTGGAAAATCCTTTTATCAGCAATTCTTAAATCATTTCTCATTGAACTATCTTATATCTATTGTACGGGTTGGTGTCTGCCTTTTTCACTACTTTTTCCTACATTTTATCATATTATTCTACACATATCAAATATGTATTTATGTAGAAATATCTGTTCTTATCGTGTCTAATAAAATTCAAACATAGAAACCTTGCCTAATATGGTACTGTACCCATCTTGACAAATTATTTGCACCTGCCTATATTAAGGACTTTGGCGCACTGGGTTGGTAACATTATTGAAAATAACACGACATTTTTGCTGTAAAATATGGTACAAAGAGAAAATACTATTTAAGCAGCTACTGTCATGACAGAAAGGTCATACTGTATTCTTTTTAAACTAGATCACATAATCCTTTATAAGATACATTGATTAACAATATGTAGGCCCTAATGTCAATATATACGTAACAGCCAATTTACAGTATTTTTGCTTTTTGGAAATGTCCCATTGCTATGTCATTTGCATTATTTGTTGCCAATGAAGCTGCAAGACCAAATGAACCAGGAGGCCCCTAACAGTTCAAGAATAAAAGCCAACTTCACTTCAAGTATTTTACTACACACCTAACACTCCGTAGAAAGATTATTTTGAGAACTTTATGTTATTGATAAGGCTGAGACAACTAACTGACATCCCTCATGTCAAGGAATTCCAGCTTTTTACAGTAACCCCACAATCAATTTCTCAAAACTGTGCTAGAGGGTTATTCATTGGCACATAAGTACGATATGAACTGACGCGACACGCAACGTGACAAAGGAAAAATCAAACTTACACTGTAACGGATATACCCTCCTTTGAAGTTAGAATATGTCTTCCCAAAAATATTTCCTTTTGAAATAAAATCATATTACACTGATGAAATCACAGAAAGTAATTTCATTCAATTTAATTTCATTCAACGCAATTAATATCATTATTGTCCTTACACTTATTACTCTTTAAACAATGCTAAATCCTCAAAATATGTATATTTCACCCAATTTATCGCAGTTGGATGACTTAACGTAGGCCTAAGCCTTCAAAGTAACCGTCGATTTCGACGGGTTTCACCTAGTTTATTTATAACACTTGAATCCCTTTCCTGTAGCAGTAGGAATGATGTGCTTGTTAAATCAATTGTTATTTAAATAGGGAATCAATCTGATTTGATTATGGAAATATTTTAGTAGAAAACCTAGGAGACTGATTGAAATTTGCTTTAAAGCTTGCAGCGGCAGGAGTATTTAATTCAATTAGGCTACCGGTACAGCAAACCTTTTCTCCCTATTAGGTGGTTTGGATTACCTAACTCAGACTTTCAAACTTGTGGGGTTCCTACTATGTAAAAGTGTATTTTTATTGCCTACCTAATTTGATTAGGTACAACGTAATTTTATTACGCTAGTGAGTCCATAATGGACTTGCCATATTTTTTTATTTTCCCAATTAAAACACTATTTCAAAGGAGGATCATGAAGTGACATATGTATTTCACTAATTGAACTAGAGATTTTGAGGTAGGGTATATTTCTAATGTAGGCCTAGTCTAAAATAGTCTGTTTGGATGCTGCAATAATGTTATTGATTATTGAATTTATATAATGAATTTAAAATAGGGCCTATATATTGACTAAACCAATTTATTACTGGATGCATTCAAAATACTAAATGTAGTAATTTTATTCTTCCATATTTTTACGGGTACCTGTTATGTATTTTTATTATTATGCTTGTCTAACAATCAAAAGGTTGCCGGGCATCGATCCTGATATAAGTTGGATACCGTACTTTTTGATGGTTTGATACTGGATCTGGCTGTTCCTGATCCTGGGCTCTTAATAAATGACCCTGGCTAATGTAATTGCTGGATTTTTATTAACAGATGAAAATCACCTGAAAACATGAAAATGTTAAACTTTTGTTAAAAACTAAGTTTTGTCCCTCAACAGGATTTAATTATTGTTCAAAAATTTGACTTATGTGTAAAAGCAACACGTATTGGGATACTTTCAGAATGTAACCTAATAAAATATTAAAAGTTTTCTATATCTTAATAAATAAACAGTTTTGACTACAGTGTACCTACAGTTCTGACAAAAATACTTTGAATTCCATTAAGTATTCCATTAAGATTACTTTAATCTTATAAACAATGATAATGCTTTTTGTGCTTAAAAACAGTTCAGCTTGTTTCACAGCATAACTTACTGCTTATGGTATTTAACCAGTGACATATTGTTTCCCCTTCCCCTTCTGGCAATTTTTACAAATTGTTTCAAAATGTTGATTGATAACCTTCAATAAACTAGAAAAATAGTTCATATCAGAATATTTTCCAAACTCAATTCCTTGATTAATTACACCTATTTGTCAAATGCCTTTTTTATATAGTACTTTAAAAATTGTACCTATCTGATTTTCATTCTTGGTTAATTTGTGGCAAAAAATATTTTATCCTCATTACAGTTTATTGACTTATTTCATACTTGGGAACAAAATAGCCTATTTGATCTTAAATTTTTAATCTCCATTCCAAAAATGTTTTGATATCTGCATCAAATCAGCTGGCAAACTCTAGTCTATTTGCACAGGATTGATGCTTTGTATACAAAGTGGTAGCGAAGTTTGTCATGAAGTTGTGTCCTGCAGTAGCCTAAATATAGACTGAGCCTGGGTCGTGGCCAAATCTAACCCACTATTCCTCTCTCTTTTTCATTTGCCCACCCTGCCGCACGCACCTCAAAGTGAGTTATCACTCATACGCCACTAGTCATTGATAGCAGGTATCCATTACGTACTACGATTAACAACTGTTTGAATTCTATACTGTAAGCGGATATTACGTGTACTTTTTAAAATTCAACCGACAACCTTGGAAACTGTGCTTTTCAATGTGTTTATGTGGTATTTTAGTGACAGACGTAGGTGGTTTTATTTAAAGTCTGAGTTAAATATGTATTTAGTGTACTGAGTGTTTGCGTTAGTTTTGAGAGTTGAAAACTTTGGAAATCGGATCTCGGTAAGGGTTTCATGTTTGATGGAAATTTTTTTGGCTCAGCCTAAGCTTTTTCTTGAACAATTTTGAATTTGTTTTAAACCATTTCTATATGCAATATTCATTACTAGCTTCCCCTCCTTAAAAGTGAAAACTGTTGTTTTGGTATATACATTTTAACATCAACCTCCTTCCCTTCTTAAGCATATATTGTGCCACTAATCATTGTTTTTTGCTCCATGTTTTATGTTTTACAGGAATTGTTCAGACTGTTGTACATGATTATACCAACTCCAGTTATTGTTATTTGGTCAATTGTAAATTTGATTTGAAATTGTTTGACAACATTTCAAACTCATATATGTCTAAATTAACAAAAAGTCTTTTTCTACATTAACAAAAAGTTCTAGTTTATTTAGTAGGGGTTTTTGTCACTTTTTTTCAGCATTAGGGCCTATTTAAACATTCAGTTTTGCAATTTTGATAAAGAACTGTAATTTTTTATGTTCAAAATAATGTATTAGTAACGAAATTTCATTTTGTTGTTTGCTAACAATTTGTGTTGATTCTATCAATAATTATTACTGCTGGGGTAAAATATAGGTTGAAGACACTACCTTCATGTTATGTTTTAAGAATCTATACTTATTTAATATGCAAGCAGGTTTTTTGTGACAATTACTCCTCCGAAACTACTGAACCGATTTAAATGTTCTTGGTGTCATTGGAAAGAGCGTAACGTGAAGTTGTGCAGGAAACTTTCTTTTTAGGTAAATATTTAGAGGGTGAGGCTCTGAGGCCCTTTAAAGTTTCGTATTTCTCCATAAGATTAACGTGGGAAACAAATATTGTTATGAAACTCCAGCTGTTGTCAGAAATAAAAAGTGAGAAGAAGAACATATGTTAATTGTAAACAGCCAATGAGTTTGCTAATTTAACAGTTAGTTTGCTACAAACATTTACTTACTTGGTTGAAATGAAATAGATACTATTTGAATTTGGGTTGGCGTAAATATTACAATGGAAAAAAACGAGAGAGCCTGGATAAATTGATATACTAAAAAGAAAACTGAATTAACACACTGCTGCATTTCTTAGTAATCATTGAAAGAGACGATTTGCAAACTATGGAAACATAGGAAAGTCATAGAAAGGGGAAGAAATAGAAATAATGTGTGTGTGTGTGTGTGTGTTTTTTTTTTTTTTTATAATTGTTATTATGGACCACCTAATGCGGCTATGAGCTATTTGTAGAAAACACTAAAAAACAAAATCAGCTTTTGAAAAATGATAAGATATACACAAGAAATGTTGATTATATCGATCTGTTATGAACATCTGAGTATTCCATAATCTTTGAGTCAAATCTTTTAAAGTCATCAAAAATTATGACTGTTATTTGTTTTAAAATAACGCCTGTAATATTTAGCAATTGCTCGATTTCGAGCAACAGAGACACTAGTAGAAATAATAACATGAACTACCTGCAGATTTTTATTTTCTAAATTCTAAATTATTTTTCCTCGTTTATTATCTTTACCTTGGTTAGTTCTTTGCTTTGATAAACAAAATGGTAACATTTTCCTCGAGAACGTCCATGTTTAGGGTTATCTTTATTATGTTGTCTAAAAAAAAATGTTTAAATGATGTTTTAAAGTATGTGGAACATCTAACTAGTGAAATATAATGTAAAGAAGTTAACATTGTGAAGTTAGTTGACATTGACAGATTGATATCCTGTAGAAGCATACATAGTCTGGCCTCTGTGCATTCCTGGCATTGTTAGGGAGTCACAGTATGGTGAAGAATACAAACATATGGGTGTATTTATAGCTTCAACGTTTCCAGCTAAAATCTATCATTTTGCTACATTACTTTATGTTTTATTATTTTTAAATCAACTATAAATCAAAATAGTTTCTAAGAATGTAGGGCTCGCAAGTTTAAAAGTTTGTACCTGAATATTTTTTGTTTTTACCTGATTAAGACCAACATTTTTTTTATTTATTACGAGTTAAAGTAATTCTAGTGATGTTGTTAAACTTTAAAACTAATCCAACTAAGTCAATAGACTATGTAGGCTAACCAATTAATTGTTTAAAATGGCCTATATTTTAGTTGAATCTATTTCTAAATTTGTTTAGAAAAGAAAATAATTAATTGAAGACTCTAACATTAAATTGTTAAGCTTATATCACTAATATTGACTAAATAGTGTTTAGTACCTTTCAATTTTTCATTATGAATTTTTTTAAATTTAAAATATGTTTACAATTAGGTAATATAACAATCGCACAAGTATATTGTGCTTTCTTCTTTCTGGTTTTATTTGTTTACTAAATCCTTGTTTGGATTGAATATGAAGAAGTTTTTAGTGAGTTTTATGCTTATCGGTTTGGAAAATACTTATTCAATGAGATTTCGTTAACCAACCACCCTCAACACTGTTCCCTAGGCCTAGGCCACACTTAAACTCAACAGACAAGCAGTAATGTACGGATAGAGTGTAGATTTGTAGAAAATGTAATTATTGGCATCGTTACAATAGATTTGAAACAAGTATCTGCTGTATAGTTCATAAATAAATACAGTATCTCTTAAAACCCTTTCCGACCACAGTGTTTTCAAACCAAGTGTGGCCTTAGTGTTAGTTTAGCGTTGCTGAGTGATATTTCCTGTATCTAGGTCCGTGGGTCTGTCAGTCCCAGGGTCTAGTCGCAGTTGTGTCACACGTCTATGTGTTTTCAGGTACTGGCTAGAGTTAGTGCATGGAACAGTTCATGTTAGTCAGTCACTAGACGTGTAGATTACATACAGTTTTTATTTTGTAAATTAAACCTATTTTTAGCGGTTCAAAAGTCGAGTTCCTTTGTACACTTTTTCAACGGCTGTTTCTGCCACAACTCCGACTCGTTCATGTTGTGGATGATCTGTGTTTTACCTTCTATCAAGCCATAACTATATCATTCAGGGCCTTAAATGATCCATCTTGTGATGTCTTCAAGCGATTTGCACACAAAGAACACATCATTCTACACAAAACTTGGTATAAAACATTAACAATAAACTAGGCCTGAATTTACTATCATTATCATAATCATAGACCTGGACCCGGGACCGATTTACTTTTTTGTTTTGAGGTCTCTAGAGGCCAAAAACACAATCCGTTCAAATTCATATATGTATATGTATATATATATGTCCGTTAGCACGATAACTCGAGCAAAAGTGATCCAATTTTGACGAAATTTGGTATAAACATGTAAACCTTATTTATTCAAACGAGCTCGCAAACCAGCATGAACGGACTATGGGAACAGGGGTTTATGGGGTAAACATTGGTTTTTCCCATAAAAAAACCATTTTGCATTTTCCTTTAAACCATTATGCAGAGCTTAAAAAACAAATAATTTAGTATATTGAAGTGTTGTTATGCGCCTAATTGTTATAAGGAAAATTGCAAAAAATTGTAAATTTAAAACTCCCATGTTATTTTCATGGAGAATAAGTAAACTGTTGTCGTTTGCTTGTTTATGGACATATTTTGATCAAATTTGGGGAATGCATTTATTTCTTACTAAACTTTAAAAAAAACATTTTTACCATCCCTGTTGCAGCAAACCTAAGTAGGCCTACTCTTTAAACTAGTTCCATAGGGAATAATGTGATATATTTGAAGAGACATTTTAGTATCAGGCTAATGGAAATTCGCTTAGTCTGCAGGTTTGCTGCAGCGGGGGTATTGTAGCTTTGTTTCTTACTAAGACCAGCTGTTTCATTAGTCAGGACCATTAAAAGCCCAATGATCAAGGACAGCTGGTTCCAGTTTCGAATCAATAAGCTTCTGACTTTTCTCAGGATTGAGCAGAGTTTTTGATTACTAGGCGAGCCCTTTAACCACTGAGCTGCACAGACTACTAAGATTATTATTATTATGGATAACGATCCAGATAAAATAAGATAATGGCTTCATAGCAGGGCCGGATTTCCCAATAGGCCCGGTAGGCCCGGGCCTATGGGCGCAAGGTCCCAGAGGGCGCATGACCGAGAGTATTTTTTTATATCTAAAAATGAAAATAAATAGTCTTAGTTGATAAAAAAAACTACCTGTTTAAGCGTTGTGATTCTGAGGTTCATAAGAAGAAATAATTGTTAGGAAACTTAAACTATTTTTCAGAACTACGCATCAATTTCGTTACAAAATTGGTAGCGAACACCGGTTATACGGGAGTAGGCTGTAGGGATGTTGACGTCGACGAGCGCCCTAGCGGTACGCATCGTATTGCCACTGCACTGCCACTATGCTGGCTCAGGCTCGATACTATCTGATCAGAGTGATTAGGGGCGCATGCGTGGTAGACATTGTTACCACCCTCACTTCACAAAACAAAAGTTATTAACTAATACAAATATATAATACGTTGTGTTGAATATCAAAACAACGATGAATTTAACTTTAAAATTTACGAAAAAATATTAATATCAGTTTGCATTAGATTTTAGAAAAATGCAATTCCCTTCAAAGCACCATTAATGCTGTAATTTTCTCCTCAGACCTAAGGATCGGTATTGTTGGCCGGAATATTGCTCTGTTTTGCTTTGGGAATATAACCTAGATCATTGAATAGTCAAAGCCTAGATGCAGTACAACCATAGGTTAAGTGTAACTCACTCAAGTCGACTTCTTATGACATTGTTAATTCAAAATTTGTCAATGTCTAGTTTATGTTGGTGACACTTGATGTTAGTTATCACGTAATTTTTTTCTATTATTTTAGGGTTAGTTCTATGATGTGGGTTTTAATTTCTTTTAATATAAACAGGAGACGACCTATTTTTAATGATTAGATTGTTTTATTTTGGATAAACTAGGTTTAAATACAGTATAGATAAAACATACTCCTTAAATAAAAAGAATTGTTTTCAGCTAGGCTAATCCAAAACGTTGACAAATCTACTAAGGCCCTTATTAGACGAGGCAGCCAAGTTGCGCAGCCAGCCGGGCAGCCAGTCACTGGGCATTGGTTCTTATGGAGCTTATTACACGAGGGCAGCCAGTTGCGCAGCCACTGTTTGGCTGCCGGCTGGTTGCCGAGCCCGGCGACCGCACAGGCAACCACTGGCTGCTCGGTCTGGTCGCGCTCCTGTGTAGCTTACGGATCTTATTACACTGGGCAGCCAGTCGCCCGCTGCCACACACATCAGTAGTAGATAATCACTCGTGGAAGTGCGTTCATCTCATTATCATCTGCGCAAAGTTCGTCAAAAAGGATGTAATATAATCCTTTTTCTGTTCTTGATGAAAGAATAGGATGTATTTGCATTCTCCTCTTCCTTCGTCTTCTCTTTTTCATGAGTAGCAGAAGAAGCAAATATTCATCTCGCATTCTGACAGCGTCTCTCCCCAACAGAACAGTTCCACCAACACTGTTCCACTGTCAACAAGAGACTGGCCTAGTTGGTAATTTTGTGGCTGCTCTACTGGCTGCTCTACTGGTTGCTACGCTAGGCAGCCAGACAGGTGACTGGCTGCCCGGCTGGTTGCGCAACTTGGCTGCCTCGTCTAATAAGAGCCTAAAGGAGTATGTTTAATCTATGGTATCACGTACTGTATGGAGTTCATGTTTTTGACCCTGAATTGGAATCAATGGCCATGTTTTTTTTTCATGAATGCTCGGTGAGTTGAGTTGTTTTGTTTCAGTTCAGTCCTACGGCGGCCACGGCCACAAACGTGAGCATTTAGTAAAGGCATAAATTTGCTAAAAGTGTTCAAGACGGCATTTTGTTAATGCTAAACAAGTCAATTCTAAAAAAAAAAAACTTGCAATGCAACGATTCCGACGAAGAGTGATATTCAAGCAATTAACTTAAGCCTATGGTCGTGAGATAGTTTTTAATAAAGGTTTGAAAGAAAGTAACTGTGACCAGACTAGGGGCGGAAAAATGTTTTGGGCCTAGGGGCGCAAAAATGCTAAATCCGGCCCTGCTTCATAGAAGCCAAAACCCAGGTCATCCTGGACTTCAAAGATGAGTCAGAGCCGGTATTCAAATTTTGGTACTTACTAGATACTTTGGTGCTATCAAATAGCACTGGTGGCCGATCAACATTAGTTTCTATGTCTTTTAATTAACTTTCTTAGGATCAGCTCTTCTAATAATCTTATTAAATTTAAATTTTTTTATCATTGTTTGAACAGAAATTCTTGCAGTCCAAGTTTCTTATTCTCTACGCTTGTAACATTTTAATAAATCAGTTTTACTCTATCTACAATGTTAAATGTTCTGATTCTTTTAATATATAGCTTCCTGTGGCTGTAGAGTGTAAATAGTTTGTTAATTGTTGATACTGTAGACTTGAAACCACGTAATAATTGTACACTTCTAGGTAACTTACCTAAATTAACTTCTGCGTCAACTAAACTGAAATGTAGCTTCTGACAGAAAATATTCTAAAACAGCATCTATTGAGGGTGGTAGTAGAAGTTTGTAAATAATTAACTAATTGTAGCTGTATAGTGACCATTATAAAAAAAAAAAAAAAAAAACTCTTTAAATTGATTTGAATTGTACTTGTAAAATAATTACGGTACTTTTGTATTATACGGAGGCTACTTATTTTACAGCTTGCTGCAGCGGTTAAGCTAGGTTGGGTTATCATAAATATGTTTGTTTATATTCGTACGTGTAGCCTAACTTAAACAATGTTTTGACAGATCGGCTATATGGCAATTATTTATGATGGTATATAGAATTCTTGAAACTATAGTAGTTCAGTTGTACTAATCGTGGACCACTCAAAAATTCAGATAACTTAAATCATTGTGTTGATTAATTGAGTAATCTACAGTCTAACTCATATTATAGATTTTTAAAAGTAATAAAAATAAGCAATGAAGTTAAATTAAAAATACTTATTTTAAGTGACTTGAAGATACAAAGCACCAGGAGGTACTTAGCCTTAACAAAATATTTTTTATAAATGGACGATTTTATGAGAGGGTACACCATCAAATTTGTATATTTTGTGCTAGTATAAAATATTATACTAATGATAGTTATTTAAGTTTAGAGATTTCAAAATTTGTTATAGTTGTACTTGGCAATGATAAGGAGTATTTTTTTTTTCATTTTGAAGGTTTCATTTCTAGAAAGTTGTTTGTCAAAGCTACTAGTCTCTTTGTCATCCAAGTACGTAGAAAATTTCATATGAAAACATATGAATTATTCATGTATTTCTTTTTTCAAATGCATTGAACTGTCAGACTTTGTTTTATATTTCCATGTCATATTTGCTCTGAATACCTAACGTCTTTAAAACTTTATTGCCATTATAAACAGGTTAAAATACTAGCCCTATTCTTAAGTGTCCGTTGTGAAAAGAATACATACAGTTTTTTTTTTAACTGAATACATATTGTTAAAAAACACCTAATAAAATTATTACAGAAGAATCTCAATTTTTTTTTTTGAAGTTTTCCTCAAGGGGGATAGGAAAATAGTTGTGTTATCGAGGTGCTTGTCTTGTTGAGGGTTGTGTTATCATTTCGGCCAGCAGTCGTGTCATCAAGGTTAATAAAAGCACTGAGCATCTATAATGAGTGCATTTCAGAAGTTAGGCAAACCCAAAATTGCATTCAAATTATAATAATACCCAATAGTGCAGAACTGTTAATATTGTGTGACAAATTGAAATAGGTTATTAAATAAGTAATTATAATCAAAAACACTACAGTTTAGTTTTTGAAGAATGACGAAGCACCTGTGCATTTATCTGTAATCTCTGTACGTTTATGTGCTTTAAACATGATTTGATTTGATTAGGCTACTAGACAAAAAAGTAATTTATTTTTGTTTGCTTGGCCTTACTTACGTGGCTTACAAGGCACTATCAATTACAGTTATCGATTTAACAACACTTTCACACATGGTTCCTCTTTTGGAAAGAAACGCTTCAATACTTTTATGGGGTTAAACACGTGTCTTTGCACGACAGACCCGGTAGATCAACACTGCCTACATCAGCTTCGTCATAGAGGTTCCGAGTTGCCTCGGGATTTGGAAAAAAGGCGTCTTGTTGAGGTTGTTTTAATCGAAATAGTTGTAATATAGAGGTCAATTTACCATTGACTCTTATGGCTTTAAGGGGATTTGAAAAGCCATAAGACTCAATAGTAAATTGACTTCTATATTACAACTATTATTGAGGTTGCTGTGTCATTAAGGATCGTGTAAACAAATTTCTACTGTATTAACTCTAAATACTTTGAAATGTGTTTGCTACTTTGATAAAAGTATAACTTAGCTTTCTAGTTTGAAAACACAATTTTCAAGTTATTTATTTTATACTCGCCCAAACCACACATTAGACCAATACAGACCAAACACTACATTAGAATCTTAATAACAAGTTTCTCATGGTAATTATCAAAACATACTTGTCTGTAGATCAATGATGATTATTCAATGCGCTCCACTGTATTATTGATTATCCTTAAATTACCGTAATCTAGAGGTTAAAATACCTTTAATCCGTCAATGTGATCATAAAATAAAAGATTAAAGGTATTTTAACCTCTAGATTAATTTATATTTGTGATCAGGAGGCAAAAAACAACAGAAATGATTATCCTTATTACTTTTTGTAGAGGTTTGCTCTGGCATGTGATTAGGGTTACTGTAATATAAAATCAAAGGTATTAAAATTTCAACTATTAAAGAGGTTTTCGTTATCGAGGTTTCACTGTATTTCCCAAGGCTTCTATTCTGATTGGTGTTGTTAGCAATACTGATTTGCAGGGACGAGGATCACAAGACTAGACCTTCTTACAACTTCACCAACACAAAAAAACAAGCATACTATGTGCAAGTTTAATGTATTCTTCTTATGTCCGTAGGGCATGGTGTGCGTAGTGAAGGAGAACAATGAGTCGTTGTGCATGTGTGTGGTGCGCGACTTGTCGCAAAGAAGCGAAGGCTCATTGCAACCCATTACACTGCGAGTGCCTGCGTCGACCTCGGTGCGAGAGTTTGTACAACAGGTAGCAAACCGCTTCAACCATGAGCCCCCGTCGGTGGAACTCATTCTCTCCCTCCCTACGGGCGGTGAGGTAAGATAAACTAAACACTCTTGCAAACCTTGTTGCCTGGCTTGCAGGCTTTATCAACCAGGGTGTCTACAGCTCCTGGATATCCCTGGTCTCAAGATATTTTAGTTAGGTAAACTCTGAGTAACTCTGAAAACTCTGATTGCAATGTTAAAATCTTTACCATGAATCAATACATGTCTGAATCAAATGGTATTTTTATGTTGATCCGTGAAAGGATTTTTCACTGAGAATTTAAGCATGAGAGTTTTGGGGTAAGTGGGATTTATGGATATCAATTCATTATATTTTAATGTGAACTGTGATATTTATCGTCACCAAACCTTCGGCTTTAGTCAGCTGACAACTGTATGTCCTGTTGTAAATAGGCAAATAGGCAATGTCAATATCTCATTACTTGACTGTGTCAAGTAAAAACTGCTGAATTTGCAGCTGTAGCATAAATGCTGTATAATATACTAGTTTTCAACATATCTAGTAGGTCCTATCCCTTGTAATTGCTTGGTAAGCAAGGTAGTTTATTTAAACACTCTTGTACAATTGGTAGACTAATACCACAGCCTGTGGTATCCTCCTTCTTCTACTGTAAGTTGCAATGTCAACACCAGTCCACCGAACAGTAATCTTATTGTTCAACTTGCAGATTGTACTGAAGGAGTCGTCTGAGGATACACTGGAATCCAGTGGTGTACGAGCAGATGGTTCTGTGCGCAACACTTTTGTGCTGCAAACTCTGACCACACCAGAGCCTCGGAGTAATGATGAAGAGTTGCGAGTTGGAGCATCGGCTTCCCCCACTACCTTTGATTACTCCACCTCCACCACTAACACGACCAACACTGTGACAACGGCCAGCCAGGAATCTTACAGTGCTGGCCTAATCAAACATGACGTCGGTGAGTGATAGGCCACACACTTTGATTATGAAGAGTAGTTGACAACACCCTGTTCAAGCTGTGGCCAGTCTTAGAATAGAAATTAACTTAGTTCAATTGTGGCACTGACACAGTGTTCTGATGTTGTTTATTGATTTTTGTTGTGTGCACTGAGTTAACTAGGCCAAACTGAAGCGACATTCAATGTAAACTATAGCATACTGTATAATGTAATGTAAGTTATAAAAGCATTGTAAGTGAGAAAATAGAATGTTGAAAGTATGACACAATCGGAGAGGCTAAATAAACTTATGTTCCTAATAGTAAAAGTCTGAAAATTGTTGTATGTTTTGTGACCGAAACAAAACATAAATACAGTTCTCTCAAAACTTAATTGAAAACAAAAAACAATATTGTACTAAGACTTAAGAGTCATTTGTTTTAAGTACATCGCTATAATAATGATGATGACGATGATGTTATGTATTTTTATTTGATAAGTAGTTAGCATGATAACTATAATTTCTTGGTGTTCAACAAGTATGTAAGAGTATACTTGACATGTTTATTTTGTCACAGGCTATGTCGGTCTGGTGAACCAAGCGATGACATGCTATCTCAACAGTCTACTGCAGGCACTGTACATGACCCCAGAGTTCCGTAACGCCCTGTACAACTGGCAGTATGACTCAACCATCAACGGTCACCAGGCTAAGTGTATTCCATATCAGCTGCAGAAACTGTTTGTCAACTTACAGGTAAGGCAAAAATGTAGCAAGTAGTCGTTTAAAAGACACTACAGTATAATTTGTTGTGTGTTTTTTATGTAGTAGGATCTTGACCGTGGAACTAAGTTAGTGTTCCTTGTAAAAATGTATCCCATCTGGTTAGATTAATACACCCTTTCTATGAACATGTTACTCATAAATTATGTTTATAGTGATAGTTGTGCTTTAAATTTTATTAGGATTATTATTTCAATGCTTGGACAGTTTTTAACTCTAGGCTAACTCTGGACTTGAAAACTAAAATGCCCTCAGCAAAAAATAAATATACAAAAAAACAAAATAAATAAATAAATATATTTTGTTTGTTAAATATACAAAATAAAATAAAATTTAAGATTACTCCTTACTCTTTGGCTTTACATTTTTGGGAATTTGGCTGTAACTACAATGTTAAACATATCAAAAGTTACCGAAATCAGTTGGCAAAGACATATAAGTGTTAATCCAAATAATTTAAAAGCTCCAATACAAAACAGAAGATTTTGGGACAATCTAGTCTTTATCTTTTGGGTAACTTAAAAGGTTGTTTTATTAGACCATGTTGAATTTCATAAAACAAAATAAAGGACCTTCTTGTAGGCCTACATTATTCATCAGATTTAAATCATGAAAAGCAAGTTTTCAAAATGCTTCCGGCCATCCGTAAGTTAAACTGTATCCACATCTTAATCATTTCTTATTCTTATTCTTAATATTTGTACACAAACCCTTGGACATTATGTAAAAGCCAAAAACAAAGAAATTAACTATGTTCTTGAACAAAAACAAACTAACAAAATAAGACTCAATACAGAATATGACTAAAGTAGACATCTCAAGAAATAACATTGTGCTTCAATAATATGAACTGAAAGTAGTTATTGCCTGTTAAACCTTTCTCTTTATAATGTATGATGTGGGTAATATAATAATTGATTTCAGACATCCATCAAAACTGCAGTGGAGACGACAGAGTTGACACGCAGTTTTGGCTGGGACTCGAGTGAGGCCTGGCAGCAACACGACATCCAGGAGTTGTGTAGGGTTATGTTTGACGCCCTGGAGCAAGTGTTCAAAGACACAAATCAAGCTGATCTGATTGATAGGCTTTACCAAGGTGAGTGCTTACTCTTAAGAAAATATGTTGTTCAAAGGTTCATATGTATTGTGCCAATGGCCTGTTAGATACAGTAGTCACGATCATCGACTAACTTGGCTGAGGTGGGGTCAAAGTAGCTAAAAAGGTCCGATAACAAGAAGTAATATAAATACCCCCGCCGCAGCAAATCTGCAGACTAAGCGAATTTCCACATGTCTGATTACATTTTTACTAAAATATTTTCATTAATAAGTCGTATTTATTCACAATTTAAATGGCATTAGATTTAACGAGTGCTTAGGTTTGCTGCTACGGGGAAGGTAAGAAGTGTGTTTTGACCAAACGTCAATAGTATGGGATGAAATAAATAAATTTGCCAAATTTTTAATATCCATAAACAAGTAAACTACAACAGTTTTCATTTTCTCCATAAGAATAACATGGGAGTTTTAAATGTACACTTTTTGAATTTTCTTTGTAACCATTAGGCATACAACAATGCTTCAATATACTAAATTATTTCTTTTTTTAAGCTCTACAAAATGGTTGGGCAAGATATTCCAAAATTTTATGTTTTTAGGGTCAAAAATGGGAAAACCCTATTTTTACCCCATAAACCCCCGTTCCCATGGTCCGATCATGCTGGTTCGCAAACTCGTTCGAATAAATGTAGGTTTACACGTTTATACCAAATTTCATCAAAATCAGATCATTTTTGCTCGAGTTGTCGTGCTAACGGACACATGAATTTGAACGGATGGTGTTTTTGGACTCCAAAAGGAAATGTAAATCGGTCCAGGTCTTACCATGAGACCTACAGTAATAGCTTATTCCCTATATGGGAAATTCGCTAAAAACACAATAAAAAGAATCCTGTGTTCACGATGTTTCTCTGTGGTCAAAAATATGAAGGAAGTCTTCAATTAAAACCAATATAAATTCTTGTTGTTCTGTCGTCATCTTTACAAAGAATATAAAAATAAGGAAAGAGTAAAAACACCACAATAAAAAATTATATAAGCAATACATGGATCACTCCATACTGTCAAAATTCAAAAAGAATATACAAATAGCTTTGTTGGATGCTAGTTACTATTAAAACCAAGCCATACTTTGTTGGCGTCATACTTTGTTGTAGGAGAATGCTAGCCATTTGTTAGCCTATACCCAATAGTAAAAATAAAGAATGAAACTTCCTATGAGGTAAAATTTGTTAACTGCCTTTTTTTGTTAAAGGTAAAATGACAGACTATGTGAAATGTCTGGAATGTGGTAAGGAGAAATCAAGAGAAGACACATTTTTAGATATTCCGCTGCCTGTACGTCCCTTTGGTAGCACCGTCGCCTACGGAAGTGTGGTTAGTTCTTTTATTGTTATGCCTTGACTTAAATAATATATAGTTCATTCTAACTCCTTTAAAGATTTCAGAAATTTATTTCTCACAACTATCAGGGAGCTCTTGTTTACTGTTCATTTATTAAATATTAGGGTCAAAAACCTTTACATGCCCACAACTCTATTTTTTTCCAATTACAGTTCTATAACTTATTGAAACATTTTATAGGTAATAAATAATGAAAAATGTGATATTTAGAAAAGGTTTTTTTCACATGCTTTATACATTTGGAGAAAGCACACAAAATAGTAGAATAACAACAACTGTAGCTGTTAGAGAAGTTTTAAGTTTTTAAGCTGTAAGAAAGTAAGAGAACTTCTCGAGCAGCTTAAAATTAGTTTTTTTTTTAGTAACTGAACTAAAATTAATCGTTATCTAATTGTTGCGACAAAGTACTCTGTCATTGAAAAACTACGTTTTGTACACTTAAATGTTCATATTAACAAGTTTTGGAGTTGTGGGCACATAACGGATTTTGACCAATGTTAGTGACAGTCAAATCCATGAAATTTCAATCTTGAACCCAATTCGCAAACAATAAAGTCCTAATATAAAAAGTACAGTTTTTTATAGAATATGGTGTCACAAAAATAATTTAGTGTGCTATGCCAAACCAGATTCAACATTCTGAAATAACTTTTTTTTCAATTTTGGAATAATTTCCTGAAAATCTCCCAAATATTCAGGAGTTGAGTACCTTAGATGTTTACTGCCTTGCACACAGCACAAGTTATGGAAACACAAGCAAATTTGTAACTCTACACAGGAATTTAAAATGTGAGACTTATGTCTTGTATATTAATTTTTTTCTTAAGATTTGCCGCATTTGAAATCTGGCCTTAACACGTCTATGAAACACTAGACTTTAATTTCTAATAGTTTTTGATAAGTTGAAGAGTTGTAAATATAGTTTAAGCCAAATGTTCATTCTAAACATTTGGTAAGTCATCTTGGAGATGTAATATGTTATTTCAAACAACGATTCATTAACAGTGATGATTTTTGCTTGGTTATAATAAATACCCTATTCAAGTATTCATACTCTAAGCGGTCGATTAAAGAGTACCAAGCCTAGAAGAACTTTTGAAAAATTTATAATACCCTTAGAATGGAAACCACTCTGGGCAGAAAATATTATTGAAATTGCATTATTTGGTCTCAGGTGGAAGCCCTCCGAGCATTTGTCCAGCCCGAAACCCTTGACGGAGCCAACCAGTACTTCTGTGAGAACTGCAACAAAAAATGTGATGCACACAAGGGGTTGAAGTTCACAAAGTTTCCTTACCTTCTCACTCTTCACCTGAAGAGATTTGACTTTGACTACAACACCATGCATCGAATTAAGCTGAATGACAAGTAAGTTAGTAATTTTAATTTGTGTTGTCTGCCTAAGGTTTTGAATATATAAATATTATTAAGTTTAATTGATTCTTCTTGTCAACTTCCACCCAAGCTGTTTACGGTTTAAGTAGACATCTTTTACCAAGCTCTTCCACAGATAGGTGGAACTCCTATGAGTTAGGACTAGAACTGACTTTAGACGGCATTCACTTGAGAGTCCTTGGAGGCTAGCGGCCATATTGGATCATTTCAAACAGCTGCTGAAGAGTTATTTATTGTCAAAAATAATTTTCCAAACACCAGTGATAATAATTTAAATACCTAGTATCATAGATAAAACATACTCCCCCAAGTAGATTTCTCATCCTTATGCAACAACTGAAGACAATTTTATTGTTAGTTCTGTACGGTTTATGTTAGGGATGGTCAAGTCTCGAAATTTCGGGAAATTTTCGGGAAATTTTAAATCTCGTTACACGAGACGAGATTTCTTTTTGGCCGAGATTTTTATCGAGACGAGAATTAAAAAAAAAAAAAAAAAAAAAAAAAAAAATTAAAAACGCCTGCAGAAAGTCAATGCAATACCCGCAATACAGGAGCGTGTTGTAGTTGCGTTTTCTTTGCGAAGGCGTTCTTATTTAATTAATTCTTCAAATGTAAATATTACTTTAATTATTTTAATAACATTTGAGAAGTTTTGTTAAGTGTTAGCAGTTTGAGGAATGTTTTATTACTATAAAAAAGTCAAAACAAGTAACTATTTTATAAAAATTAATATTTTATTTTATGATTTATTTTATTTTAGGATAAGTTGAACTCTATCCTAACTGATATCACTATGTTTCCTAAACCCTCATGTGTCCTAATCGTAGGCATTTTTAATAAGTTAGGCGTGATTAATAAAAAAATGTTATGCTGATGTTTTTTAATAAAAGATTGTAAATATTCTTGCTTATTATCATTATTTTTGTATTTAAACAGTCATCTAACAATGTTACAAAATCAGGTAAAAATTCTGAACGTGCATTTCCCGTTGTGTATGAGAAGGGAAATCCCGTCTCGATCTCGTCTCGAAATTTTATGAGAAATAAAAAATCTCGTCTCGTCTCGTCTCGAACTAAAAATCCAATCTCGTCCATCCCTAGTTTATGTAGAGGTCGTGTTTTGTTTACAATTTGTTTAAAGTTATTGCAGTCATTTAAAACCTCGTTTAACCAAATAATACGATCTAATCATAAACAATAACTTGTCTCCTAGTTATATAACCAAACAGTAAAGCACAAATCAAGAAATTAACCCTAAAACAATAGAAACAAAATTTTGTCGACACTAGCGCCCAGTGTCACCGTACATGAACTAGACACGAAAAACGTGCTTCAAAATTTACAATGGGATGACAAGTCTACTTGTGTTGGTTAGTCTATGCTAGTATACTGTGACATTAGAAATATTCTTTGTAGTTTTGAATTTATTTTATTGTCTGGAAACCTTTAGGCCTAAACCAATTGTCTTTCATGCTGTAGGCCTAGTCATATTTTTGAGGTGTCAAAGGTTTTTACATTATACATTTTTGACGAAATCTATTGTAACTCATGTTATTTAATGATGAATAAAGATTTGATTTGATTTGAATTGTTCTCCAAGGGAGTCCATAGAAGCTAGCGGCCATCTTTGATTTGCCCGCCATAAGAGCAATGTTAATTTCGTTGATTTCTAGGGATGGTCAAGTCTCAAAATTTCGGGAAATTTTCGGGAAATTTTAAATTTTGTTACACGAGACGAGATTTCTTTTTGGCCGAGATTTTTATCAAGACGAGAATTAAAAAAAAAAAAATTAAAAACGCCTGCAGAAAGTTAATGCAATACCCGCAATACAGGAGCGTGTTGTAGTTGCGTTTCCTTTGCGAAGGCGTTCTTATTTAATTAATTCTTTAAATGTAAATATTACTTTAATTATTTTAATAATATTACTTTAATAACATTTGAGAAGTTTTGTTAAGTGTAAGCAGTGTGAGGAATGTTTTATTACTGTACTATAAAAAGTCAAAACAAGTAACTATTTTATAAAAATTAATATTGCTTTTATTTTATGATTTATTTTATTTTAGGATAAGTTGAAATCTATCCTAACTGATATCACTATGTTTTCTAATCGTAGGCATTTTTAATAAGTTAGGCGTTATTAATAAAAAAATGTTATGCTGATGTTTTTTAATAAAAGATTGTAAATATTCTTGCCTATTATCATTATTTTTGTATTTAAACAGTCATCTAACAATGTTACAAAATCAGGTAAAAATTTTGAACGTGCATTTCCCGTTGTGTATGAGAAGGGAAATCCCGTCTCGATCTCGTCTCGAAATTTTATGAGAAATAAAAAATCTCGTCTCGTCTCGTCTCGTCTCGAACTAAAAATCCAATCTCGTCCATCCATATTGATTTCAAACAGTTAATAAAGAATTATTTACTGTCCAAAAATATTTTTTCAAACACTAGAGTGATTGTACTTAAAATATCTAGTATACTGTGGGATTATAATTTTTCTTTGTAGTTCTTAAAGTGTTTTATGAGTTAGAACGTCGAGGCTCCAAGGACTTAATCTCTTAATCTATGGTGCTGTCTCTTGGGCGGAGAGAAAATGCCTTTGATCATAAATTTACCGCACAAACAGCATTGGTTAACCAAAATCTTAAGTATTGTAGTTCTAAACTTGACTCTTAGGTTGCAGCACACGTCACATATAGCTTTCAACCATTTGTGGATTTTTATTCCCCTAGAGAGTTTCAAATGGAGGTTTTGCTAGACCTACGTTAGTCTAGTGTCATCAAACATGGAGCTCGGAGCTCAATGGGCTCATATAATACCAAATCAATTGAGCATTATCTGATGTTACAGAGTTACCTTCCCAGAATTGCTAGACTTGAACAGCTTCATAGAGCAGGGAGGGGGAGAAGAGGTTAGCAACAGTGAGGGGTTGCCTGAAGAGCTGACTGTCAGCCGCTGTGACGACAGCAGCACCACGGACAGTGGCTCTGCACTGGACGACGAGAGTTGTCAGCCCAATCAGGAGATGACAAACACAGCAGATATCAACCAGGTCTGTACAGGAATGCAAACATTGTCAACTTTATGCTACTTTTTACAAATATCTCCGACTTCCTTCACCCTGCACACAATTTTTTTATGTCCAAACATCTTCCTACGTTAACATTCACCAACTGACAACAGATTGTGTTGGTGTTGGCCCCCGTGAAGTGGCAGGAGTGTCAATTTTCCCTCAAATCAAGGCTGTCCTTTATGACAAGACTAATCATTAGGGAAGGGAACCGGCTAGAATTAGCGATGGTGAAAGTAAAGAACTGAATTCGAGTGTCAGGATTTAACCCCCCTGCTCACTTGGCAAAGACCGGACGTCATTGGAAAACTTTATTAACAGAAAACTCCTGTAGTTATTAATAACCCTTTTTACATTGGTGTTACATTGGTGACTGCTAGGAATTTTTTAAAATATTATTCCTACTTCTGGCAATGTCTGATTCTCGAAATGTTGGTATAATTTGTTATTTAAATGCATTTAGTTCAGACTCACTTGTCTTAATACTTGACTGCATTGTTGTAGGACGATGATGAAGGCATCGATGTGAGTGGCGGCAGTTCTAATCACGTGGAGAATGAGAAGAACAGACGTCACGGACTGCCCAACGGACCGTACGTGTATCAGCTGTTCAGCATCATGATACATAGCGGCAGTGCTAGCGGTGGACACTACTATGCCTACATCAAGGACTTCTCCAACGGCGACTGGTTCTGCTTCAACGACACCAGTGTTACTAGGGTAAGAACTGTACTAAAACAAAACTGGCCATATGAATACTTGCCTATGTCAATATTAATAAACCTTCCATTTAGTAAAGTACAAGCTATACCCGTGCTTTGTAACGGGAAGAGGCCATAAAAGGGGAAAAATGCTGTTCTTTAGATCTGCTGTAGGAAATATTCACACATCAATTATTCATTTTAGAAACAAAACTTAATTGTTCTACTTAGTGTGGTAAAATTATTTTTTTAAACTTAGATAAAGTGTTTAAATTGCCAAGGCAACTATTACAGTGTTTAAGTGGTGCAGACGAGACTTAAAAAATACTTAACCTCTATGAATAATTTGGAAAACAATCACTTATTTAAAAGTGTAGACCTACTTACTATCAAAACCCTACTCATTTGAAGCCAATAGATGAAAATAAAATGATGATAAAATAGATGAATAAAATATACAGTACAAACAATAAAAAGAGGACTCTTATTACGTCAAGTATAAATTCAAGCATTTAATTTACATTAGCAATAAAAAGAAAGAGTTATACACATGGTGTCTAGTAGTTGGGAAAAACAAAAAAGTCGGGAATTAGTATTAAATTTCAAAATGGTCATGATAACTCGGAATTTAGTCTTTTTGCCGCGACAATCACGTTTCCGTGGCCACAGGAGACGATGTTGATGTCTACACACCTGCGGAAGATGTTCATGATTTTTCCACGATCGCGCTAGAAAGTGAACACATTTTCATTACCTCGGGGGATGACGATGATGTCTATGCGGCAGCAGGAGATAAACAGAATTTTGCCACGATCGCGCTAGACGAGATCACTTTTTTGTGACCGTGTGAGATTTTCATGAATTTATGTGGAAAAACATCAAAATTTCAAAATAATTTTTTTTAACCCCACCAAATTATTCTTTGCGTAGTTGCCGCTCGGGAAGTGTTAATAATATAAGATTGTGTAAATTTTCATTAACTACACTATCTTCTAACAACTCATTCACTTAAGTAAAGCTTTTCTATCCTCCTAGGCCATGTTTTCTTCCCAAAACTTTTTACTGAAACATTTTTGAGCTGACATTACTACCAAACATTATATATAGTAAATCTATTTTGGGGACCGATGGTGCTAGGCGAAAAAAAAAATTCTTCTCCTCCTATATGATATTATATAATAATTCAAAGCTAATGTTAAATCTACACTAGTTACTTATTTAGAAGGAAAAGTAAAGTTATACACCAGTTAGAGCTTAATTTAACATTACCCCTCTGTCTGGCAGATAACCAATGATGACATAGCCAAGACGTTTGGAGGTGGTGCTCTGAGGGGTTACTACAGTGGTGCCTACAGCTCCAGTACCAATGCCTACATGCTCATGTATAGACAGATCTCTTCTGACAACTGTAATGCTGTCAGAGTTGAGGATTTCCCTGAACACATAAAGGTAGGCCCTTGCATATATTGATGTAGAAGTACTAACGAGATGGGATAGTTGTTAAAATTGTTCTTGTAATTTATGTCTTGTTATATTTCCTATGTTCGATACAGTAATTTTTAATCCAAAACAAAACCAACTACTGTTGACTGTAGTGGATGTTGATCTTGGTCACAAACTCCTTAAAATCCTCTATTGTGTTGAGCTCAAGAAGACTTAGAATTTGAAATTTTACAATGGTGTGATTTTTCACTATAAGAAACTGTGACAGTATAGGTAAGATCTGTGACTTTCCAGTAAAAAAACCTTTCCTGACACACTGTTATACCTTGTCTTCTTGGGGAATGTAACCCGTATTACTTGGATAAAATTAACTCCTGAAAGGATTGGTGAAGCCTTTATGTTTGTCTTGAAACCATCAACCAGTTATGTCACCAAATTATAGCCGGAGCTTAAATTTTGAAGTAGACACTTTAAGGCTGCGGATTTCCTCTTTATTTCCACAAACTTTATTTTCAGTGGCTGCACAAGTCAGGGCCTTCTCACCCTTACCTTCTCAACTTTTAAACTCTGATAAAGCTGTTAATTTTGTCAACCATGGAAAAAGCTTGTTTGAACTGTAAATTTTGCAGCTACACATGAAAATAAGCATGATTCGATTTCTATTTTAGATTATTCAAATCTTTGTTGCGATCTTTGGGTCCCAGATATTTTAGGGTTGGGTCGGGCCAGAGAACCAAACTCTGAGCGAGTCGAGCCGAGCCAAACTTTTATTTTTGGGATTGCAGAGAGTGGATGCAGAGATGCTAATGGATAAAAATTGGATTGGTTTTTGTCGCTATCCTGGGTGATGTAAGGATTTTCTGCAATCGTGACAGACGATGATGATGTCGCTGTGGCTACGGAAGCTGTTTCCGATTTCACTGTAACTGCGGAAGATGTTCCAATATTGCCGTCACCGCAGAGGACATTTAAGATTTTAACGTGTAGGCCTAATAAGATTTTTATGTTAAAACTGGTTCATATGATGACAGGATCTTCACAGAGAGCTGCAGGACAAGTATGACATGGACCGAAGATTGAAGGAGAGACACTCTGAGATGTCTACGCTGAAAGTTCATTGTCATCATCCTACCAAGGGACTCACAGATGCCAAGGTGTATGTTCACAATGACACCTCGCTCTACGAAATCACCACCGAGGCCTACAATGTAAGACTCAGTTACATATTCGTTATTATATGCTGAAACCGCATTAGATGCTCGTGAGAGATTATGACGGTTGATGCTTGATTTATTTAAGTTAGTTTAGGTTCTTAAAACTCTTTTGTTGTCTCTAAAATGTTTATCAATCGGGTTTTACGTGGAAATTATGAATTGTTAACTCAGCAAACCTCATATTGTCCTAATTTTTTTTATTTTCATGGCTTGCAGGACTGGTTTTGTCTATGTTTATATCCTGGTTGTATGGTCAAAGCTAAACTAAAATCCCAGATACTTCTTTTCCTTAAAACAAAATTTTTTCTGCGTTTTGCCTTTGAATATCAAAGAAACTAATTAATTATATAAATTATTATTTAAAATTCAAACCAAATGTTAAACCACAAAATTGCGTGAAGACAAGTCTAGCTGACTGTTTTTTATTTCAATAGGTTTTGAAGCTGAGTGGACAAGTAGACAGAGCAAACTGTCGCTTGGTGTGTTACAACCCGATACAAGACACGATTGACGTCAGTTTCGACGAAAGAGAGAAAGAGACTCTAGCGGAGATAATGGCCACACAGAAAATAGAAGATTTGCTTTTGGAAATCAAAGATGATGACGAGGAGTTTGAAGTCTACCATCCTGGTTGTAAGTTTTGTCAGAGCATTTATCTTAGTGATTCATGTGCATATACGTTCATGTACATATATACATTCACACATACATTTTCAATAGTTATCGTAAGTTAAAAAATGACATTGTATTCAGAATGTTTGAAAATAATATCGCACAATTTTATATAGTAGAAACACATTTTTTGTGTAAGTCAAATATTTTGGTAAAGTGGTTTTTCATACATTCTCTAGACAATCCTATTGAGGAAATCTGTGTGCTTGAAATTCCTTTGGAATGAAAACTGTGCTTAAATGATTCAGCGATCGTGAGTATATATTCTCCACCATTACCAGGCTCCATACAGAATATATATAGGCCTACTTTCGTGTTGTCTAAATAACATAAAATATAAATATTGAGTAGCCTATAATTCATTTACACAATATACTTTCAACAATTTTAATAGTTGTGATATGCACAACATGAAACTACATAATCTTGGACATAACCACAGAAAACATACTACTATAACCCAGAATGCCAACGGCATGGTAAAAAGCGTTAAGTACCTACTTTGAGAGAGCTTTGCCTGTCATTTCGTTGGCAGCGCCACCATTCTGGGTTAAATAGTAGTATGTTTTCTGTGACATAACTGAAATTAGATCGCAAACATATATATATATATAACTATGCATAGCATACTATAACATACATAATATTTATTTTAATAAGTAAAGTACCTATTTTGTTTATAAATCATATTATATTAACGTTTGAAACGTTACTTTAAGCAGAGAGAACTAATCTTTGTCATGCAGCCTTCACTATTACTTATGTACTGTTCCGTGCAAAGAGTTCTAATAAAAGAAGGACAGAAAGTTAAATTCAAATCTTTCAAGCTCAAAAATCTTGTTTGATAAACTCTTCAATTTTCCTTAAAGACACGTATATTTTGACTAAAATAACTTTTTCCTACCACTGCATGAAAATTATTAATTATCAATTATTCTGCTTTATTATTTTTTCTTACTAAACCAGCTGATTTCACTGTTGGTGTTTCAATAAAACATTAACATCCTGTAAGCAAATAACATAACCTGAAAAAAGCAAACAACCTAAATGATACTTTTATACAACTAAAAGTTAATCTGTGTGTTATGATAAGTTAATTATGGTTGTGGTAAAGATCTTGTGTATATTACATGCACAAGCCACTATTGCCGCTCTCTACATGTACGGCCGCACACAGCGAAAGCTTCTTACGGCCATCTACAGTTCTTGAGCCACAATTACAGACTTTGTCATCTTAATGTACAAATAGCTATTTCCTTGTAAATCATCATTACCTTTGCTTTGAATTCATTTATTTGCATTTTCCCATTCCATTTAGGTCCACTTATCCTTTTCCTTTTTCCTGTTTCAGTTAATCCCTTCCTTTCCAACCTTTGTTCCTGGTTCCCTTTGTTTGGTAGCCTATTCAATAGAGGTTTCCGTCGGAGGAAGAAAAGCTTAATATCTTCAGGTATTTCAATCATAATGAAATTGTATTTTAAAATATAATAGAATCAGTTGTTGGGAATTCATTGTAGCAACCTAGTTTTAAATATCCATAAAGCTGATTTAGGTCCAGATAGTTCATGCCATGCACAGCAAATGCGCCGGTAAAGTGCTGTGCAAATTTGTTTTTCATGGATTATGAATACACAAAATTTCTTAATACAGGTCTAAAGAATATTAATATTTTATTAATTAAATATAATTTAATTTATTATTGTTAATTTGATTTTTTTCCATCATTATAATGATGCCAAGGCTCAAACCAATAGTCTAAGTTAGTAGATAAAAGTAAAAAAGTGTCAATTGCATATTCTTTAAAATTTAATTTCAGTATGATTCACAGAAAATTAAACATGGAGTTCATGCACTTGATCCTCTGTCTCTTTTTTATCCTGTCTGTAACGGGCCTTTCAAAGTTCTTGACAGGTTTAAACAAAAGTATATGGTATACAGGCTATTATAGGTTTTTAGTAGACACTGCCTGCTAGTATACAAGCACAATTTGAGCAAAATATTTACAGAGTTTCTTGATATTTAGTAGTAAAGCCTTCAGGATGTCCCGTCCGAAACAATGGAATGGCTGATTACTTGGATTCAAAATCAAACATATAACCCTTAAGTTACACATCATTTATTGTTTTATTTAAGTTTCGGTGTGCCAAGCCCAATTTCATTTTATTTTCCCATAGTTACAAACAGCTTCTTTTGCTCTAGTGTCTTTTAACATACCTATGAAAGAGACTTGTACACTACTATTCTCATCACAATATTTGGGTATTTCCTGTTAAAGGGAACATTCATTATTATCGATAATTTTTTTGATATATCGATATTTTTGTTTTTCAATCCATTACAAATTAACAACAACTAACTGATCTTGTTTAGGCTAAAATAGTCTATTATATGGATTAAGAAATGAAACTGTTCAAAGCTAACCTAACATAACAAACCATACTTGCTGTACCATTTAAAAATTCCGTTTGGGTTTGATAATAGAAAAGGCAAGTTAAACTCGAAATTTTTAAATGTTGCAGCAAGTTTGGTTAGTTATGTTAGGTTATTTTTTAGAACCGTTTCATTTCATTATTGTTTGTAGATACTGAACAATATTTATCGTAGTTGTCAGCTGCTATGTTTCAATTTGTTAATATCGATAATCGATACATTGAGAAAAAAATCATCAATAATAATGAATGTTCCCTTTAACAGGAAAGTATCCAATATTTTAGGTTAGCAATTTTATTAATTTAATTTCCATGTAGGTAACCTGAAAAAACAAAGAGTCCAGGAGCCAACAAATACACACCGTAAAACACAACACTGATTCGTCTAATATCTGTGTTATCTATTTTGTGTGTTTTTACGCCAGTGGAATTTTTTTCTTTTTGAAAGGGAATGGTCCAACCCCTGGTCTTGTTACTATCTAATGTTGACCTTTTTGTTAGATAGCATAATTAATTCATAGCCCAATGACAAATAATGGCATCTGGGGTTTGGAACCAATCTCTGGATTCAGACCAGCTACCTTCAGATTTGAAGGCGAGTTATGTTGAGTGAACTTATTACTCTCACATTTCAATTTTTTTTTAGTCTGACTCTAATTTTTCTCTAATAAGTAGTTGGACTCTTCCTTAAAAAAAAAAAAAAAAAAAAAAAAAAAAAAACTAGTTAAGCTAGTTAAGTAACTGTATTTTACAACATATTTCATTTCCAGGTGTAACTGTGAAAATGCACATTATCGATTTGGAAAAAGAAGATGTTCCGGAGGGCTCAATTCCGTTCCGCAGTTCTCTGACGAGCACGGTGGGAGAGTTGAAGAATCTGATTGCTACGTGTGACTCAGTTGACATCAAGCCAGAGGACATAGTGTTGGTGGTCGAACGCTACACTAACTACCATCTGCTGCTGGAGGACGACACGCAAACTCTTCAGGACGCTGGCTTGTCTTCTTGTAATAGGGTGAGGACAAAAAAAAGTCTCTAGAATACAGTTTTGTTATAGCGGTCGCTCAATGGAAAAACAGGATTAGTTGACAGGATATAGTCCTGAGAAAATCCAGAACTAAATGTATTACCACCCAAGGACGGATTATAAGTGGGGGGGGGGGGAGGTCTGCCCCTCCTGAGACCCAAGGGGCAAATGAAAAAGTGTTTTTTTTTAGGGAAGACACGTTTTCTTTGTGCAAACGGAGTTTCATGAATGTTTACGAAGCAAATAAGGTACGTCGTTGGGAGTTTTAACTCTTCTAAATTGGTCTTAAATCAAACCTTATTACAACAAAATGGTGCTAAAATCAGGTTTTCCCCAAAAAATTCTAAATTAACTCATAGTCCCCTGTTTTTCGGGAATCCCCGGTCTGTGGCCTCCCTGGATTTTACACACAAATTATGGGTCTAAAACGTCTTAAAATGTAAGTTTTTTAAGGCCCTGTTTTACAATAACCGACCTCAGTTTTTATCCTGAAAATTCATTTTCAAGCTAAATACTAAGTCGTCTTCATCCCTGTTGTGAGGAGGTGTCTTTATAAAAAATTTGGTATTTAGGAAATGAACATGTGTAAGTCAAGACCGCAGATTCATAATGGAAAAACAGGATCACTCAATAGAACATAGTCCTGAGAAAATCCAGAATTAAATGTATTGCCGCTCAGGGTCAGATTTATATGGAGGGGGGGAGGTCTCTCCCTCCTGAGACCCAAGGAGCAAATGAAAAAGTGTTTTTTTTTTAGGGAAGACACGTTTTCTTTGTGCAAACGGAGTTTCATGAAAGTTTACGAAGCAAATAAAGTACGTCACTGGGTGTTAACTCTTCTAAATTGGTCTTAAATCAAACCTTATTACAACAAGTCATGCACTTTCTCATCTGAAGACAGTATTGCAATGTACATCGAATCAACCATCTCAGTAGTAGAAACTTAGAGAGAAAATGAAAATAGAATTTTAGACACAGAATTTTGTAGCACAGTTTGTGATATGACTCATTGAACTCTTCAGCCTTTTACCTAGATGGTATGCAAAAGTCAACGGTTGGATATTCTGAGGAGAGGTGTCTATGTAATAGTTCCGTTAGTTCTAGAGTTGTAACTTTGCAGATGTACGTGAGCCGAGGTCCAGTAGAGAAGCCGTTTCTCTCCTCACGGTTGTACAGTCTGATTGATAGGTTTGAACATGTCATCACACTGCACATCGCACTGCCGGCCACCGACCCAGGTTAGACAATATATCACTTACTACCTCACTTTTTTATAAAAACACTTAAAAACGTATGTCTTATACTTATACCCTGAATCATTATTGAAAGATGGGTGCGTTCCATGTTTTTACTGATTTTTCATCACTAACGGCCATCTGTTTTTCATTTCATTATGCTAAGACGACAATGAAAAAAAAAACAAACAAGAAAACGGTATCAGCAAATGACACATACTTTCTCCCATTAGCTTGTCAACAACCTTTATCATAAGTAAGCAGTGGGAGTAACAAGCAGTGGAAAATCACAAAAGTTGCAATAACATTGGAACCGTAATGTTTACAGCAATGGGTGGTTGCACTATTTTGTTTAGAATTTTAAGGTCCATAACATACTGATTTTTATCAAACCCAGTTTTTTTTTCAATAATCCGATTTTCCTTTTTTTTAAATGGTTTTAAAGGAAAAATAACTTTTGAACCGTAATTTTTACAGCAATGGGAGCTATACCATTTTATTCAGGCTTAAAAGGGCTAATATAATAATCTTTTTTTAAATCGTTTGTGCCATTTTAGAAAAAACTCAATTTTTCTGCTATGGGAAAATCCCTTTTAAAAATTCAAATTTCAAAAAATAAAAAAAAACCTCATGGAGTTACCATGAATTAGTATCTACATACCAAATTTCATCAAAATTGTGGAGAAAGTAAAAACAGTTATGTTTGCAATTTGAATGCTAATAGTTTTGAAGATTAATTATAGCCTAGTTGAATGTTTTAGTGTTTATTTTAGATGTAAACTGTTAACCTGAAGAATTATTTAGGTTTTGTATAATTTATTGCTAAAAATTCAGTCTAAGTGTCTTTTTATTACACTGTAAAAAACTTTTGTGGTGAACCTTAATACAGATAACAGTAACATTGGACAACCATTTTAGTTATGGTATGTAAAGAAAGATCCCTCAAAAATATTGAAATTTTGGGGATATGAATTTATCCAGACCTTGCAAAATGAGTTTAAAGTTAGTTCCTAGCTCTTTAAAGTATGACATCGGATAAAGAGCCAAGACATTTCTTGCTGGATCCATAATTTTAGTATCTCAAACACACGATATTTGTAAACACGGAAGAACAGTGTAACTCAACATGAGATTTTGTTGATTTTAGATTTGGCCTTAAAACGTCATTAACACATGCAATAAAGTAGATTTTGCAACTGTTTTTTTTTTATTGTTAACTTATGATTAACCATTGATTACAGAAACTCTGGCCAGGTTATCAATACCTCCCCTCAGTTCAAATCAGGATTCCAGCAACAAACAAGGAGGGGATGCAGTCAACTCACAAGACAAAGGTAACCACTATGCTGTGCAAGCCCATATTCTGTTGTGTTAACCCTCCAGTACACGCATCGAGGACTCAGAGTCAGCGTATTTGAAAAAGCGTGCCAAAATAAGTGAATCGCAAGCAAATGACATGACTCGCCTTATACCTTCCCCCAATATCTTTCCAAGAACAATGGCGGTGTTTTGACCGTCTTAGCGTCAGTTGGCCCTGAGCTAAGAGGATGTAAAGTAAGGTGCGTGTAAAGTTGTCCATGATAGTAGCTCCAGCACCTGCTCCAAGCAACGAAGAAGAAAGAGGGCGATGTCACCTCTGTGATCGTGCCTACCCGATTTCAGTGCAGGGGATGTGGGTTCTTTGTGTGTCTTCAGCATGGGAATTCATATCTGTGCGCCACAAGTGATTTTAAGTTTAAATTCGTGTGCGTATTCTGGTGTTACTATTAGCTGCACATGTACTGGAGGATTAAGAGAACATCATAAATAATGTTATAATGTCAATAATTTAGGTAGAAACAGTTTGTATAATATCTATTCAAAAAATGTATTGTTTTTACAAAATGAATGTAGGGGTCAAAATGTTGTTTACCATGAATAGAATAGAATAGTGAATAATGAAATATGTCATCCTTTTTATTTTCATTAAAATTATAATGTATACTCAACTCGAAAACCCCTCTAGATCAAACTTTAGTAATGTTTTATGCAGAATTATTTGCCAAGTGGCTTTCACTTATTAAAAGAAGCAAAAGACAGAATTGTAACAAACAGCCATGCCACTGACTTGGCGAGGTGCCACAAGTTGAACCTTCTTGTGAAGTGATTGGCACGGTGACAACGTGTGGCATCTGCTAGCGTAGTTCAGTGTAGCGGCCATGACTTCTGTCGACCGTTTTGTCGGTGGGTTCTGATCACTGTTAAATACGTTTATTTGGCGTGTATGAATTTGTTTGACCCTTTCTAACTGTTCGTTGAGTTTGTCAACATTCCATACACTTTTGTTTGCCTTTAGTAATGTTCTTTTTGCTAGCTGAAGCAGTTTATAACTTATTCTTTCTTCTGCAAAGAGCGGTATTTTCTAAAAGAATTAGTTTTCTCAGATGTTTGAATTAATTAGAATTGAAAATTCTAACAATTTCACAAAATGTTGAACATTGTTTATAAAATGTAAAATTCTTAAACCATAAGAATATTATATGAAAGTGCAATGTGCCTGTCCAAACCTCTAATATTTTCTGTGTAGCTTTGTTGAGAGCTTATTGATTTAACTCATATTGTCTCTTTGAAAAAAGTGTTCCCTGAGATTGGTCAGTAAATTTACCGCACTAAAGCTGATTAGGGTTTTACGGATCCCATTCGGTTAAAAATGACTTTTTGGTTTGCAAAGAGTACAGAACAGAAACCACTTACTGTGTAGTGTGTTTAAAACTAAGTTTGTTATGTTGTCAGTGAGTGGAGCTGGAGTGACAGTGGCGGGGCCAGGGGGGGGCTCCAAGAGCAGCTTGTCTCTGCCATTGGTAGTGGGGGGTGGCGGGGCGTCTGGGGATGAGGACCCTACGACAGCAGCCGCCACTCACAGTGACCAGAGCACCAGTGAGGACAGCAGTCTTACAGACAGCGACAGGTAACTCAAACACTAGTAATTACTTGTATTTTATTTCTGTCCTGTATTGTATGTAGTGATGTGTTGGTTCCAAAAGATGGTCCTCGGTTCCAACGATTCTTGGGGAAATAACCAGGAGAGAGAACAGTTGGAAATTGTTGGTTCTTCAGTCCGACGGTTCCCTCAACTACTTAACATTTTTTTGTCCTTAAAAAGATTAGTTGTATATTGTTATAAATCAAACATCTTTAATGTAAAACTGTAAACTGCCCACTACAACTAACTGTATCACAACAAAAACAGTCAGTAAGAGACGAAAGAAAATTGTAGTAGCTTGTACGGTGTTACTCCTGATATAAGTGTTAATGATATCATATACAGTAAAACCTAGTATATCCTATATAGATAGGAACAGGGTCATAACGGATAAATGAATTACCGGATGAACCGATTTTACCGATGTTTGAGATGTACATAAAAAAAACGCCATTAGAAAGTCTCTGCAATACCCGCAATACAGGAGTCCAGGAGTGTGTTGTTGTTGTGTTTCCTTTGCAAAGGCGTTCTTAGTATTTTTTTTTTTTTTTTTTACTGCAACCGGGAACCGAGAACTTGTTTTTGGCCAAGAACCGAACTGTTTAAAAATGGATGGAACCGACACATCACTAATTGTATGTGTTCATGGTGAGACAATTGCAAGTGTTTAACAGGGAAAATATGAAATTTTACATTGAGGTATCTTGAAATTACGGCTTACGATTCATCTTAACATTGTTTCGTCTTCATTCATCTCTCTGTAACACTCATTTAAGTATTATTGACTATTGTTCTATTGTGCATATGTTTTTCGTTTTCTCATATTTATGTTTTTAACCTTTACTGTTAAACAGAACTCTAATCGGTGACGTCCAAGACGAGTGTTTAAGTGATGGAGTTTCTCCTCCAGATGAAATGGCAAACCCCCTGCCGGCTCCGGTAAGAATATTGTTATAGTTTTCATGTTTTTTTTTTAACTAAAACCTTGCTACGGTTTGATATAAAAAAAACATAATGAACTGTTTACAGCTTCTTTGGTCTCCTGTGTCAGGTTTAATTTGCCATTGTAGCCTACAAATTATGCAAATTATGCTCTTGCTACTGACTTTAATTCAGACACAACTGACTTTTGACCCAGGTTATCATTTATAATATTATTTTTGACCTTCCGACACCTACTTTCCCCTCTGTATTTTGTTTCAGAAAAAAAACTAAGTATTTTTTCCTGAAGTATAAAAAGGAATTTTGGAAACACATCCTGGTCTGCATATGGTCTATATCAGACATTGTTGTCTCATTGTCAGTCATTATAGTTATGTTTGTTTAGTTTTCAAACCAAGTTGTCCTTGATGAACTGTTGTCACACAATCCTGACAAATTATAAATCTATTTCAACAGTTGCTGTTATCAATATGGCTTTGATGATTTAACTAATCCCCCACACCTCTAGACTAGTTGATAATCCGTAATCTCTTACAGGAGTCTCCAGGGAGTGGTGGGGGAGGGGGGCAGGATGCAGGATATGTAAGCTCCGAGTGTAGTCTAGTGTGTAGTCACCATTCCTCTTGCTGTCCTGCGTTGGACGAGTTTACAGCCTTCGGTCTTTACGTTGCGGCCGAACTGCGTAAAATAACTGACCCACTAACTCTGGCCACAGCCAAACACAATATTAGTGATGTCATTTACCGAGCATCCGTTGGTGGTTTGAATGGCATGCCTTCTTTCCTCTAACGGCATGATGATGTGAATGTCGTCTTAATATAAATACTTGTTATTTCAGGTTTTTATTTAAATTTTTGTTGTTAAAATTTTGTAATTTTAGGTAGGCCTACTGACTTTGATTGACTATTGATTGAAGTAGTCATCGAATTGCCATTTTAAAGCTAGTTTCGGAGTAAAAATTACCATTGTTGAATTGAGCCTTCTACTTGTGATTCATATAAAATACACAAACCTTTTTTTGTTTAATTTCTTCTATCTTCTACAGTCCATGCTGTATGCATTTTTCTTATTTTTTTGTAAGGGAACCGACCAAAGCCTAGTCTTGTTGTAACTTAACCCTTTTGGTTAGCAAGATTTATAGCCCAATGATAAATAGCATCAATGTTCAGAATTTTCCCTCTTGGTCAAATCAGCAACCTTCTAATTTGAAGGCAAGCACTCGGCTACCCAGACAATAGGCTTAAATGGTTAACCAGTCCAAACTGATTGCACAACTTATTGTAAACTTTAGCTTCTTTTACATCACATCTTCTAGCTATGTATCAAAACTTACTTAGGGCCTACTTACTGCCGTAGCTATATCAAAACTAAGGGAGAAAAAATCATTTTTACAGTAACACAGTGTGCGAATGGCTCATTCAATTGTGTTCTATTACTTGAATAAAAATTGGCTACAGCTTGTCCATATAGATGAGATGTGTACTCACTAACATCCAAAAGTTAGCGGTACAAGAAAATAAATTATTAAGGTTTTGTTCCAGTTTAATTTGTTTGTGTAACTTGGTAACATCTGCCCCAAAACAAGGAATGAAGCAACCTAACTTGAGTTATGATCCCCTCCCCCCATCAAGGTTTAGTAATTCTGTTCAAATAAATATGTTTTCAGACACAAAACGTGATTGGGTTTCTTTGCGTGTGAACATTATTTTCCATACATAGTTGATATTGACTTTTTCATTCAAACTTAAATTGTTTTGTCTGATTAAATTTTGTCAGTGTTTGAGCAGATTCTAAAATTCCAATTTAAATTTGTCTATTCTTTTACGTGTAGTTTTGCTATTTCTATTAGTGTTGATGTATGTTAAAAGAGATATATTTTTGTAATATTTTGTCTATGAATAAAATTAGTTTCCTCAGTTTCTGAGTTTCATTGTGTTAAATTATAATAGATCCTCATACAAATCACTGATTTGTTTATTAAACAAATTTTTAAATTGGTAAAAATAATGGTAATATGGTATTCAATAATTAGTATTAAATATTTTTTTTTTTTATTTGGAATAGTTAATATTTAATCATCAACAGATATTATATTCTTTTGTTTTCTGTGTTTGTTGAAAATTCTCAAAAAGTTGCCTGAGATGTAAAATATATACTATTAGAAACATGTTAACACTTATGTCAAAGGTTTGGAAAAAACATATGACAAAAGCTAAAAACAAAGATGCAACTAAATGTGCCGGGCCAATTCATTTTGCAATTTTCAAGATCATACCTTCCACTACATTGGATAGCTGTTTTTTGAAAAGGGTGATTTAAAACTTAATTTGTACTTCCGATTAAATCTTTGAACATTTTAATTTTCTACTCCAACTCAAGGTCAAATTGATAACCCAAAAACTTACCATTCTGAAGTTTGGTTTACTTGTTCTTCCAATAGGGTTGTGGGAACCAATACAATGTGTGATGTAGAATCAAAATTTCTCTTAGGATCAAAACTAAAATGATATTTTATGTTAGCAGGAGGAAAATTGGGATGAAGATGTATCTAGTCAGCCGCGGCCCAAGCAGTACACATACTTCAGGGCTGTGTCGTACAAAAGTCGAGGCAAAAAAAGTAAGTTCAGCAAAATCTGGTTTGGTAGCCTAAACTAAGCATGATTCTATCAATTATTTGAGTTCCAACAGATATAACAGATTTAAGACTAACACAACCAAACACAGCAATGTATATTGATATTGAGATTAGGATCTTGTTATCACTCATACGCTATGTTTGGAGCACTAGCTAGCAAGTAACATAGCCACTTCGCATCTTGTCGTGGTGTTTCCGGACCAATTATTTGACAAATAAAAAGGTTAAAATATCTGTTATCGCATTGACGTCTAACTTTGTACTCAAACTTTGCATTTAGGCGCGAACACGATTGTCAGATTCATATACGAAGTAATCTTGCCCGAAGAGTTGTGTCAAAGGTGTAGAAACAAAAATTTAACATAGCCATTGGGTTTGTTAGCCAGCACTAACTTATTAAATTAAATTTATATTAAAAATAAAGTCATAGGCCTATAATTTTTTTTACAACTTATGTATTTTAATCTTACTTTAATGCTAAGTTGGTGGATGTAGCATTTATAGACAAAGAACCGCTGTACATTATGTCAAAATTTTATTTTTTAAATTATATTTCCTGATAACCAGAAAACTTCTAAACTCCAGATATTGCCAAATTTTGGGGACTCTACTGTATACAAAAACCAATGTATTTCTAGATTTGAAGTAACATTCACTCTTTACATCCACACTGCATATTACTGTATTGTTTGTGTTCTTTGGCGTTATTTATAGAAAAGTAATACATATTGACAAATGACATTAGAAATACTGTTTTTAACATTTACTAACAGTTATTCTTCTGCAGTTTTGAAGGTGTCAGTCGACAAGCGGATGTCCATTGATTCCCTCAAGACCCGACTGGAGCCGTTCTTGGGAGTGTCGGCAACGTGTTTCAAACTTTACCGCAACACAGGCAACTCAGAGTATGAGACACCGCGTGTGCGACAGTGTGACTCTCTCAGTAGTCTGCACAACAAGGACCAGCTGCGCGTGCAGCTTGGCCGGCAACTGTCTAGTGACGAACACAAAGTGCAGGTCTACCTGCTCACGCTCAACACTCCTCAGGTAAACAAGTCAAAACTTCTCCTACCACAATTCCCATATTCTGAATGTGTATATTAAATTAAAAGGTGATTTTTCAGATGTACATTGAAAATAACAAAGTAATTTTTGTGGGAGAATGATTCTAATGCACATGAACGTCCCGCTTATGACGCTAAATGATTTTACGGGCTTTTTATATTTCAGTTATATTTAGGGTGTCCACAGCTCTCTGACATTCCCAATCTCCTATTTAAGACTCTAACATTTCAGTTGAGTCTCAAATGTTCCTCAAAGCCCACAAAATTGTATAAAGTGTCCTCAATGTTTATTGGTAACACATTGTATCTTTTAATTTTTTACCCAGGAATAAGTTGTCTCAATCACTAGACAATTGTATGATGATCTGTGTACGGTTTTTTACAGCTTGAGTATGATAAAGAGGTTACTGTAAAAATTAAAGTGGAGTGGTGCTTTCAACTAATCTTATTCACTATTAACTGTGAAAGCAACCTTTATATTCAAGTCAATGAACCTATATCTTTTGTCAGATGAGAACAGTGTGTTTGTAGTGATGTGGAAATATTTCATTAAACTTTCCTGTACATAGGTAAATATCCTCAAATTTATTTTCCCAAAAATTGTCTTCCAGGCGCTGTATACACCCTGTTGTTTTACGTACCAAATTGTTTGGACAAAATTTGTATGCTATATTGTTGCAGGCAATTTGAATGACACTTTTTCTACCTCAAGTAGAGCTATAGTAGGTCCTTTTTCTATGGACCATCAAATAAATGATTAGGTCACAACATGAGAAAAGCGATTCTATCATTCTATTTATAATTAAAACTAAAATTAAAATTTAATTTACTTGGTTCCCAGAATCACCGTTAAAGTCATGTGATTCATATTTTTTCAATCCTGAAATTACAGAAAAAGTCATTTGTTAAAATTTGGCCTAAGTAAAAGCTCATTTGATTTTAATTTAAATTATTTCAGAAGGAGTTTTTGCAACATTAACTATGTGTTAGCCAGTCAAAGTAAACTACTACTGTTAGATTGTTGTGATAGAGTGATTGGTAGGTTGGATGTTGCAGCCTGTTAAGTACCTGTGTGAGTGGATCGTAGCCAAAGGTGGAACTGTCGGCCAGTCCAAGAAAGAACTTATCGAATACCTGAACAAAGTTCAAAATCTCAATCTGGAATATAACAGGTTAGTTATTGAGAATAGTAAACTTTTAGTTAGTCATGTAAGCAGCCTACAATTACATTTGTATTCACTAACTCATAAATTAGTTGAATTATATCACTTAGTTTTGCAATAACTGTAGTGTCATTCAAATTATAAATCCAGTAAATTAATCTTGTATGCATATGATATAACCTTGTAAGTTATTTATTATTTCTTGGAACCAGGGTTTTAATTTGCCCTAAGCTCATAAAAACCGACCAGGATTAATCTAATTATTTTTTATTGTTGTTAATGGCTTTTTTTTCAAAATATAAGTATGTTTTGAAAGAAAAATGGATTTTTGAAATGTTAAATGTTAAAATACCCAACTTATCTTTTTAAACAAAAAACTTGGCATTAGGCCTTAATTATTTTGTTTAAAATAACTGGTATACATTACACCGCTCACATTCTCTTTGATAGAGACGTATTCTTAACTGTTCAATAATTCACATTTATAAATCCGAATTTGTTATTACTTTTCAGGTGTCGACTGAGGAAAAAGAACTGGAAGTGTGTTGGGAGAGTGTACCAGGACAGCCAGATCTGGGTGGATGACATAACTTTGTACAGCAACGGAGACATCATTCTACAAGTAAGTCTATGTCATAAAGGATAGCACAGATAGCAAGTTAAACCCCAACAAATTCAAAGCTCCTTACTACAGTGTGTGGATAAATCAAATTCTTTCATTTTTTATATGATTCCTTTACAAAAATATCTCTCGATGTTTAAACAAATGTTTATCACTGTACATGATCCTTATTTTGTACAGAAGCTAGATGAAGACGAGGTAGTGACTGCGGATTCGCAGGTGTGTCTGTTTGTGCGACATTGGCATCCGTCCACGCTCACACTCGACCCCTTCGAGGAAATAGTACTGAACAGCTTCTCCGTTGAAGAGCTTAAAGAGAAGGTAGTTTGTTATATAGTTTTAAGTTTAATGCTACTAATCTTTCTGGACTATTTCCTGGTTTTAATATACGAGATTATAAGTGCTTCACTTTATAATGAGGTCTTGTCTGGCAAAATACTTTTTTTTTTGTCACTCTAAAATGAGAGTGCTTTCCTTGCAGAAGAGTAAATCTCAATTGGCTTGGCAGTAAAGTGACACATAAGATGCCATAAGAATCTTTTTCCAATTGATTCTGAAATAGTTGAGACCATCTTTCCTGTCACATAATGTTAAAATCATTGGAGAATAGTTACATGTCCCAAAGTCGGCCAAAGTGTCTTTATTTTTTCTAATCACTTACACTTTTTTTTATGTTACACTTCAGAACGTTGTAGTTTGTAATAGAAGAGTTTTGTCTTTGTTTCCAATTCCCTAGGTAGTCCTCTCTTCTCATCAATTGTTGTACAATTGTCATGACAGAATACTCATGTTCTCTCTCTAGTTGTCACAGAGGAGCAATATCCCGTTGGAGCAGGTGGAGTTTGCTAAGCCGTCTGGGTTCTTCCCTTGCGACATGTCAGTGTTGAGTATTCAAGACATTGACTGGAACCCCAAGGTCACATCACTGGAGGGATGGCCCTTGCAGATCAGTGATGACGGTGGAGTTATCTTCTACAGGTAATGTCATGACCCTGAATTAATTAAACTATGAGGGGATTCAGAAAGTAAGGAACACTTAGGTATTATGCCACTAGGTGCATATCAATCACAAATTTTCAAGTACACAACATTCATACACATAATGCAAAATTGTTTGCAACAGCAATGTGATGATTTCAAACAAAAAGGTCAAGGAAACTTGTGAAAATTCTGTTTTTGCTATTCTTTATTGTCTTAGACTACTGAGCCTCAGGACAGGATGACTACTTTGATTAGTCAAAACTATTTTCCCAAACTGTAGTACTCAGAGGCCATTGGGGTGGTATGTGGTGATGTTATTAGTACGAGTATTTCCATGTCGGAGATCTCCAACTTTATGTCAGAATCCTCTAATTTATTAGGCATGCCAGTAAAAGAGAATAGGGAAAACATTACTTTAGCAACATCTTGGATAGCATAAATGCAGCTAAATACACTAATGTTTTACTAAAAATTAAGGTAAATATACTCCTATACTGAAGTTTGTGTCTGGTTACAGGGACAGCACGGAGGAGCTGAAAGCCCTGACGCCTGAGGAGCGAAGTGAATTGACGACTAAGGAGACACAGCGACTAAGTGGCTCCAACTCAACCGTCTCCTCGTACAGCCCGCGCAAGGAGCGGCCACTCAAAATCTACCTAGAGCGGCGGCCGCAGTTTGTTGTCGAAGCTGATGTGGACTGAGCGAATAGGCTACTTTACTAAATCGTATTTTTACTCCTTTTGCTTGATTTCACTCATCTCCATACCATATATCGTCCGAGTGTAACCGCAGGCCTATATCGAATGTGAGTGTGAACGGCCTATTCAGTTTGACGCTTCCGTTTATCTTCTGTTGTAAATCAGGATTTTCTACTTTTATATACTGTAACATCGTTTGTTGTAGTATGAGCCAGTAATTATTTTATTTATTTGTAAATATTTATGTTATTCGATATTTAATGAGTGATTCAGACTGGAACCGGAAACCAAACTGTTAAGATTTTTTAAATGGTTTCATTGTTTTACTACTATTATATTATATACAAGTTAACTTACGATGTAATTTTAACTTTCTTAGTTGACAGTTCTGTGTACTTAAAATTATTTATGAGTTTCAAAAACTCTACTATTTATACCTCAACTGTTCCTTGTTGAGTGTTTGTGTTGTAGAAAGACTTTTTACAAAAACACATTGTTTAATACAAAATAATATTATTAAGTTTATCGTGTTCCTCAACAAAAATAATCTCCTGTGTGCAATTACATCGCAAGTGGTTGTTTTTAGGTTAAATTATGTAACCATACTTTTCTTTACAGATCAAGCATTTTGTTTTTACAGTCGATTTTTGGTGCATTTCAGTAAGATAATTTACTTCAAAAATCATAAGGCTTTGTTTTTCTATGATTCTTAGATGTTTGATTAAATTCTAAAATGCTTTTGTGATGCCAGACGAGTTTTAGTCAATGTTTATTTTGTTTTGTAATTACATTGGTTGTTGAAGAAATGTTTGTTGTGTGCGAGTCAGTTTTATAGGTGAATCATCCATTGTACATTTCACAGCATCGTAAATAATCAACAGTATTTTGTAGTTTACATTTCCTATAGTATGTCCAAGGGGCTAAGATACCACACTATTTATCATTACTTCATTATCCATAAAATTTTACACATTTTACCTTCTTTAAATTTTTATTGATTAATTGTCATAGGTTTCTTTTTATAGAAGGCGGAATATTTCAAAATGTTATTGAAAAATAATTTATCAAAATTTATAATAATCCATATAGTTTTTAATCATGTATTTTTGGAGTTTAGATACTTCAATATCAAACCCATTGTGGTACATGTTTGACTAATAGAGACAATTGAAAAAATCTCCAAATTAAAAAGTTAAATATGTTTCTTTCACATTCCTCCGAAATGTTTGATGATTGCACTAAAGAGAGGTGATGTAATGAGTTTCAGGCTAGCAATATAAAAATATTATTTAAAACGGTGCAGATTTTATTGGTTTAAAATGTTAAAATGTATTAGGTTTTAGAGACCTGTGGTAATATTATTCTGCCATATTGATAATGGACCATTTCTTGACTTAAACTAGCTTTCAACTTGAACTTCCATTTATGTTAGGTGATATATTATCGATTTCCTAAAGTGACAATACTACCCGTGAGTGTGCTGTTATTTTGTTTTGAGTTAGTAGGTTGTGGTATCCGCCCTAGTTACCAAACTGCTCTCACCGTGTATCATACACTTATCATATGTATATAATCAATCGTACAAAAGCAGTGTTGTATGCCTTACGGATTATATTTACGTTCTGTTGCGGTCGTGGTGCTTTATGGTAAATACGTCTCAAGGTATTTTCTAATATGAACATTTTGTAACATATCTGAGCGGGCGGTGACTACCGCATGCCCTTTGTCCGAGGCAAAGGATTAAAATATTTATATTTTATATACAAATTAGTGTTATTGTAAATATCGGTAAGTTGATCAAAACGACATGGCAAGATGATTGTTGTTGAGTTTGTATCAATTGTAAAATTTAATTTAAAACTGATTCTGATACTGCAACTACAACATGTAAAATAGTAATGCATTTTGAAAAACTTTTTGCAGTTTCAATAAAAAAAATATTATTATTATATATTAATTTTTCATAACCTTGCAACATTCATAGTGTATTAGTTAGTAAAACTGGTTAATACGCATGTTTTCACTTTAAGTCTGTCTTGGCCATTCAAATATATTTGTAAGAGTCATTTGCTTTTGTTTTACCGAATTTCCCAGGAAATAAGCTATTGTAAGCTTATTGTTGTTGTTTAAAAAATTAAATTATTGTAGTATGCTTGAATTATATAGAGAAATTGTTACTAAATTTGTCAAATTAAATTATTTTATACTAAGTTATTATTAACCTTTTACTGAAAATACACACTTTATTTTCTTCCTTTTAGCAGCCAACCTAAGTACTCTCTCTAATAGGTATCTAATGTTAGGTATTCAAATAGCGAATAAATCTGACATTATTGAATGCTGCAGCATTTATAAACTGTTTTCAGTTTTTATAATTTTTGTAAAAACTGATTTTCTTCATTCCCAACTAAGTTTATCTTGTCATGTCGTGTACGTACGGCTAAGTTCCAGTGGCGTAAGATGCAATGTTAACGTTAATGCCTCGTTAACCTGTTTATTGTGGTTTTCTGCAAATAAACATGCTATTCAGTATTCTTGTTTTACATTTTCCCTTGTGTAATTAATTACCTATTAGCCTTGGGATACTGAGGTAACATAACAGAAATAAAAGTAGTAAGTGGAAGTTTTGCTATTTTAATCTCCGATAAACTTACATCAAAGATTTGGAGCTCAAAGAATTAAAATAAGTAGAGAACATTATATTAGCTGCTAGCCGAGTTCAAAAATAATCATCCAAACAACCTCACGATTGAGCGAGTTGCAGCTCGGCAAATTTCTTTCTGATGCTGCTTTTGTATTTGCCATGCTAGTGTGTCAAGGTGTAGAACATTATTAACCTGAATATCAAAATTATTATAATACTTTTTCCCTTTCTTAACTGCCTTTTTTATAAATAGCATGAACCGTAATACCTACTTTTTGGATTTGTAGGATCAAAAATTGCATATTTTATATCTTATTATTTATTTAGTTACAAAATCTTTACAACAAAATAATAAACTATACAAATATAATTTACAAAAATGCAACATTATTTACAAACTTGAAGTGTACAACTATTATATACATATTAACAGTAACAATAAATTAAAATAAAGGAAGTATAAACTTTCATATTACATTTAGCTTAAAATATTTGTAAGAGTTAACAATAAATAAAATTATAACAGGTTACCTTGACGTCCACAATTCCTAAGGAGGATTTTCAACAATACTGAGGAATTGTGGACGTCAAGGTATGTAACCTGTTATAATTGATTACCAATTCTGTAGGGCTTCAACATGAATAAATAAATAAAAAGATAATTTTGTATAGGTACAACAGGTACCTATCTATTTCGGTTTTGAATTATATAAATAAACTGAGGAACAAATATAAGCCACGAATTGGTTAGGGTAATACATTGGCAATTATTAAAACAACTTTTTTGTACATAAAAGTTTTACAAAAATACCCAAAATCAACTAACTTGGCCAAATCCATTTGATTAATTGGAGCAAGATGTAATTTAAATTTCTTTGAAATCCAAACAAATAAACTGGTTCAGGATGTTGTTATTTAGTTTTATTTATATATTGATATTTTTCCTAGGTCCTAACGGGTTTCAAACCACTTTAAAACTGACCTATTTAATACATTAAATCACTATTTAAAAATCAATCAATAAATAATTAATTTGTGTTTAACAACTAGCACCCTTCAAATTGGTCTTTTTTTATAAAAAGATTGCTATTTATTTATAAATTTCTAGATTGAATGTATTACAAAATAAACGTTTAGTCTGTGTGGTTTTTCATAACTTTGCAGCAGCAAAGTTAACATATTCATTTTGTAAACCTGATTACAAACACTGTAGATCTCGCTTATCCAACCTGAATCAGTTGCGATCAGGTAATACAAAAAACAACTAGAATCATTGAAATCATGATCAAAAGTTTTTCATTTCAACCTGATTTAGGCTTTAAATTTATTTTCTATTGAATAAATTTAATCTTTTCTATTTTCAAATTGTATAATCGAGACTACTGTAGGTAGTAGAAATAGAAAATGTAACACAACAATAGAGACATAATATTCTATCACTCACACATTATACATAGTCAGATGGCACAGGTAAAGACTCGGTGATGGCAGCTAGAGTGGCGGGAGGACGGGGGTCCCAGTGCCCCGTCTGGCTCCCCACCGCCTCGTAAGTCCTATCACTGTTACTAAGGTCACTGTAGTACGCACTGCTGGGTGCCGAGGACTCACTGACGTATCCAGTGTTCTGGTACGCCGGTCGGTCGAGTTCTGCGTACAAAGCCTCGTCCAATGTGTAGTGGTTGACTGCTGGCACCGTGGGAGGATGCAGGGGAGGCGTGTACGGGGCTCGTCTTGTCAGCCATCCCCAGGCCCCCTGTCTGCCCCCCGGACCCCCTAGAGGGACCATCTCCTTGTCCTCTAGCTGGGGGGATTGGGGACTCGTGGGATCTACCCTTCTCCTCCGCCTGAAGCAGCTGAACCCTGCAATCAAAGTTTTAGTTAGGAATTTTTACTTAATTGGTAAATTTAAAAAAAAATATAATAAGGAATCCTTTAAAATTCCTGTATCAACTTATTTCATACATTTGATTTCAAACCATAAAAGTGTAACTTGTAATGTAACTTGAATTAATAAGTCCAAGATATTTTATCTTTAAAACTTCAGAACTGAAACTTCATAGGTGAAGATAATTGTAAATTAACATGCGCCCCACGTTTTTCGTTTTAAATCTTACAAGTATTTATTCTCTTAACATACTTTTAAATTATTTTCTACTTTTTAGTGTGTTTAAAAACGTGGCATTTTTGAAAAGTATTTTTATTTATAAATAATTTATATGTATGGTGGACACGCAAGCCACTAACATGTGTGGTTTTCGTGTGCAATGAAATCTACTATAACCCTGTCAACTTTCACCGGAGCTATTCACTGTTTATTTTAGGTGATCTCTTCCAAAAAGCTCTCTCATATACAGCTCTTCACCAGCAGTAGACCTGACCACTTGAATCATTTGATCCATAGTGGTCCAAAGTTTTTAAAATACCTAAAACCTCCATTAATCAGACCTAAAATGTTGCTATTACAACAATATTAGTACACCCAATGTTAAGCAGTAACATCTCAACCTTTACCCCCACCATGGTCTGTAGAATACCTACTAAGGAATTTTTAAGTTTTAGAATCTATTGTGTTATCTAAAGATATAAATATTAGGTAGTAAGAAAGTTTTTTTTGCACTTACATCTGGAATCTTCATCTTGAGATCTGAAACAAAAAGAAAACATTACATTGTGTACAAATATGGGTTTGAATTTTTTTATTAAATAAATAACAAAGCAGATTGGTGATTGGATGTGTCCCCTCAACACTGCTTGAGGAATGACAAGTGAGAAGTAATGAACCGAAAACAATAGTGAAAATGAGTACCAACTCTCCACTTTCCTTCGAGTTTTAATAATTTGGATGACCTCCAACTCCAAGTGTCAAAAATTATGTTTAAAATCCTACCTAATCTGGTTGTATATTTAGGCGGATTTGAGAGCCCATGTTTTTAAGTGCAGATTATCATTTTAATCTTGTAGAAAACCAACTCTCAATACATATATTCGATTATGTTTCCAATTTACTATATGCATAATTTAGGATCTTTTGTCATTTCTTTCAATTTGGGTTACGTTAAAAAAAAACGCCCTGTACTATCGAATGCCAAAATATTGACAAGAATGTAACAATAAGTTACAAGCAATGAAATCAATTGATAATTAGTTGAATAATTGATACATGTGATTGCGTGGTGATTGCTTACATTCAAACGAAGTTTACAATAGGTGAATAATTTAACTTTATAGGGATTAAAAAGGCTTTTTTTCACCCATGAAGAAAAAAACTGCTCTAGACCCCAAACGCAGCATGTTTTTAAAAGCGGTTGTTTTTGCTGCAATATGGCGAAACAAATTGTGTCAACATCAGCGCGCACTCGGTCGAAACAAACATGAAACCCTTCAGATATGCAAAACGATGAGAAGCCAACGGTCTACTTGCACTGTTCAAATTCAATTACCTATTGTCAGCACTCGCCATACAGCCCTTAACTATAATGATGGTTCAGTTTTAACCCTTGGGATGGTAAATTATGAATTAACTCGTAACAAATTACTAAAGGCAGTGGTTGTATATTAAACATGTTTTGTCATCTCGGAAGACGAAGCAGGCATTAAACAAATTAACCGCTGTGAGTCATTTGACATGCTCCTGACCAAGACGTATTGTAGATGGACCGTCTGATAGCCAGGACCACGGGACCGACCGCGGCTTGATAAGATGTCTGATGGTTGATACGTCAACCTGTCTTGTGAGCAACTCTACATCATCCGTCCTCTGGACCCAATTCTTAAAATTGACTTATATTCTCATCTATACAGTACTAAATAAATATAGAACTAAACATGTTTGTACTAAACATGTGTATCTATGTCTTCCCAGTGCGCAAAACCCACTTGACCGAATTAGCTGAAATATTAAACAAAGAATTTGTGTATCTAGCACTACTGTAGGCCTATTTCCGTTATGTAATTGTCCTAGGATTCTGCTCCACACGCTACTATAAAATTCTGAAGTGATGCTTTGGTAAAAACATATAGATTTTCCTTCCAAAAAATAAAACTAACAGTACTACTTTAATATCAAATTTGGTTTCAACCTATACATATTCTAGGGATTCGATATCAAGAAATAAATTATAGTTACATTTTGTGTGTTTTATGCATATACAGTAAATGACTCTGCCCCAGGCAGGATGATACAGCATATTCAATTCAGTTCTCCTACTACAACATTCAGAAATAAAACCACGAAACTTCAAAGAGGCAAAATACCAACAAGGAAAATCAGAACTAGTTCCACAACTAACGTTTTTAACGACCACAATTTCAAAGGATTTGACCACATACCACCTACACCACCTGGCCCAACATTTCCACGCAAATTTTATTCGCCGGCAATAAGATCGTACCGAAAAATCGCGTTAATCTCGGCAGACACGTAATCGACACCTACATAACGTGATCGTTCCTTGTGCGTTGCAAAACCGCATATATTCAATGATATTTATATTTGTAGGCGCAAGGCGCTGTTGCGTGGTGGGCGCTGGGCGGGTGACGCAAGCGGTGCGCTGTCGTGATACCGACCTCCCCTCCTTGACGTCTTAATCCGCCCCAACACTTGGGCAACTACAACTGCAACTCTCCAGCTGCGTGTGTTGTAGTTTGGCAACATGTATGTGATTGGCTCAGTCTGTTAACTGAAAGACGAAACAATTCAGGCCTAGATCAATTTCCTTTAGTGAGCTCCGAACTTGGACATTGTTTAGACCCCTACAAATCGTATAGAACAACCTGTAGACAACCTACAGTCTGCTCTAAAATACAAATCTGATTAAAACACAATCTTTAGTAAAAGCTCCCACAGTGTGCTCCGAATTGGAATTTCGTATGTTTTTAATGGTTGGGTATTGTTTGGTTTGAAGAATAAAATCGGCAGATCCCAGATCCCATACATTCCCCTCTCGACGTCCTCTCGACGTCTTTAATTGAATCTGGATAAACAGTATTCCTTTCGAACTATCATAAAGCTACTGACTGACCACTATAACCCCTCAGATGTCCTGGGTTGAAACTCCCAGAGGACTACTATCCCTAAGAGTAGGTTAAAGTACTTTCTATGTTTCATACACTGATAATAGTGACAAAAAAAGCTAAATAACACATTCTCTAACAGAGGTGGCAGCTTGAGATAAATTCACAATAAATATCTATGTCCTAAAAACACTTAATGATACATGAAAAAATGTTCATTTCGAACTGTAAAACGAAATGTACAGCGAAGAATCAAATGCTTACCTTCTACAGTGCATGAGGGACACCATGAGGGCTGCTCCCAAGATGGCGGACAGGATAGACACAATCACCAAGGACACGGTCCAGGTGAGGGTACCAGGCAAGTCTGTAACAGACAGGATAATGTTAACAGATCAGAGTTACATTGGTCGAACACTTACAGTTATAAGACAATAGCAAATTCTACAGATATTTATAAACTTACTATACAAGTGTACGATTAACAAGACTCCCAGTATGTACAGAATATTTGTGTACACAAGACTCCCAGTAGGTACAGAATATTTGTGTACACAAGACTCCCAGTAGGTACAGAATATTTCTATACACAAGACTCACAGTATGTACAGAATATTCGTGTACACAAGACTCCCAGTATGTATGGAATATTTGTGTACACAAAACTCCCAGTAGGTACAGAATATTTGTGTACGCAAGACTCCCAGTAGGTTCCACGCAGTGTTGACGCTGCCTGGAATGTCGAGGCGCCGGTTCGGCCCATAAACTCGACGACATCGCCAGATCTTCGATAGCATTGTTTTTGCCACCCATCAGGAGGCCCCCGCCCCCCCCGCTCATTATCTGCGGATTTGGATGTAATCGTAAAAGTCAAAACGACACCGGCAGCGCAGCTCGTAAAGAGACCCGGCTTTGTGGCATCAAGATCGAAGCTAACGGCGGCGGGCGGTGGCGGAGGCTAGAGTAAAGAGGCTGGTTAACAGTTGGGTGGGAGGATGTGGCCTGATGTATCAGCTGATTGTGTACCTGCTGAGGCAAACTGGCGGGAAATAAAATACGAGTAAAGTAAATCTAGTGCGGTTGATGCTGGTAGTGCGAAATCCTTACTTGCAATTATTGTGAACCACCTAAATAAATGTCTATAGTAATACTGTATAACAATCTTGCAAGAAATACCAATAATGAAAACAGCTTAGAGGTATTTTCAGGCACATGCCATGCACCCTTTTTTAAGTGGATCAAACCCAAACCTTTAGGTGCGCAACGAATTGTGCCAAAATTACGACATTTCTCCACTTAGACACTCCATGGTAAAATCATACGTTTTACCATGAGGCCATACGTTTTGGAAAGATTGAATGAAAGGTCACTATCGTAATTCAAGCCGAAAGTTTTAGGATTCACCGGGTTAAAAGACTAACGCGAGGATTGCAAGAAGTCTTAATCAAAGTGCACCTTTTTTCGTCTTTTCAGTAATGCATATTTAGGGAGTTACGTCATTTGCGTACCGTAACGAAAAAGGAACTTTGGGCCCTTGCACAGGCTATACAAATAAAATTGTACACCTCTCTTGTAGCACTGTTATCCATTCTTTAGACTCAAAGACACGTTGAAGACATGCTATCATCGATGTACTTTAATGCATATACATACCAGTACTTTTGGCGAAGGGCCTAAAGACTGAATTATAAATTTCAGTAGTTTTTAAGTGCGTCATAACAAATACACGTCTACCCTCTCCTTTGTCTGCGGCCTCCCACAACGCGGTGAACCGTTCACCAACAAGCATTTGCTTTCACGCCTACCTCTGTTACACCTTTTTACGACCGGCTTCCTGCCTTGCCCTCACAACTTCATTAATTAAATAAACTACGTCTGGGCGGGAAAGTATATCGTGTCAAAACTGAATACTGTTATTGTCGGGAGTTAACAAAGGAACACGGAATAGTTTGCAATTGGACGAGTAACTCGTGTAGAGAATGCTGTGAATAATTTAGAGATGTATGAGCAGCAGTAAAAAAGTTTACATAGGTCTAAAATGTTTTGATTTAAGTAAAACTTATGGAAACGGATTACTGTAGTAGCCAAACTACAAGATCGGCGAAAGTTGGTTTTAAAAACCGCGCCTGTCGTGAATAAAATATACAATTGAAGGAAGTGATCTCAATTGAATTGAATCTGTCACCCATACAATGCCAAAGTTTTTTGTGTCACTAACTCTTCTGTAATGGCAGAATACACCACTGTTGAATCGGTTAACAGTCATAGAGGAGTAGATAATACTTCTTGCCAGTAACACAGCCGTAGAAGCCATGTTCGCAAAGTTAGCTGAAGATGACTACATTCAAAGCATTTTTTGACAGCGTCAAAATATCTGCAATGAATATTTATTTTAGTTAACTGTTGTGGGACAAGCATTACTACAGCGTCATTATTATTTGTTCTGACATACACGAAAGTACGTACATCTTCATGAAAATTTCTGACATTACCTGTTTCAAATTACTTCTTTAAAAACTATATATTTTCTTAAGATCAACAATGAGAGCGTGGTTTCAAGCGTCATATTCAAAGCTAATATCAAATCGATAACAGCAAAAACTTCACACAAAGGCGGATTAATGCAAGTGAGGAAATCCCTGAAAGGTGGAGGGGCACTGGGCAGATAGCCGATAGAGTTGTAAGCTTATTGCCGACTCACGCTCGACTTATCTTGGTCGTGAGAGAGCCGTCAACCAATGCCCGGGGTGTGAGACTATCTCTTGGACATATCACAGTATCGCACAGTAGCCACACACTACACACTGCAGGATGGCTAACTAGGGATTGTACAATCGACAGTTTATATGAGACTGTAGAAACAGAAAGAGTCCAAGGACTGTCATCAGCCGTCGTGGAATCTTCAGTGCCATCTTCAGCTCAGATAGAAATTGACTTCTTCATTTCTGCACAGAGGAGAGTCTGGCTAGGAGGTATGCAATTAATGAAGATAATAGATTTAAATATTGGTAAATTATTAGAAAAGACGCATACCTTTCTTCAGCTCATTAAAATTAATTGTATGATGATTTAGTCATTGGGCGCTCTTCTGGCAATCATAAAGTTGCCGGTTATATCCTGTGAACAATCAGAAGCTATTTGATGGTTTACAACTGATCCCGGATTACATTAAACGTTGAACATTATAAATTACCCTAACTTTAGAAGTAGCGGATCGTAGTCAGACAAATCTGGTCGTCTAATTTGTTTAACCCTTAACCCTCCACTCATCTTTGCCTTAAAATATGCACCTCGTGTGTCAGCGTCGTTTAGGCATAATATACATTCCTGTAAGTATAGAGACAAACATAAAAGGAAACCTGGGCCGCTGACCTAAATCCAGGATCACGGACAAGTACTACAGGTATTTAACCTTTTTATTAATAAAAGGAAAGCTGGATACAAAAAGAACCTCAAAGCATTTTCACAGATAAACATATCCACCAAACTGCCTTAGACACCGTCAAAAAGGCAAGGATTGAACATACGAAGTGAAGTAATGATAGATTACCAAGATACCAAGAGGCATAACAACCATGTAATAGAACAAGTGAGTTTAATGTCTTTCTTGGTTATCAAGCTAAAGGCCCATCTTGCCCTATCGAAAGGAATACAGTTATGCTGTACCTCTTCTGACTGGACAGTACCAGAGTAACAGTAACTATAACAGGAGCGAGGATTGGACCGTTCCTTCGCACTGTAAAAATAAGCGTGGGAAAACACAGATTAAAATGGTTTAACCAAACTCAATGATGTTTTCTGAAAATGCAATTGCGATTGGAAGTACAAATTCTCCCAGCAAACTATGAACTCAGAAGATTGGTTCGGAGATGCAGCCCTGTGGGAACACAGACCAGCTAATGAAGAAAGATCGTGGATGCCCGACACCGTGGAGCGTGCCAGATTAAAAGAAAATGCCAAAAATGACGTTTGGCGTGATCGGTGAGTCGTGACCGTGGTGATGGCCGAATTATGCTGCTCGTGATAAATAATGTTGAATTATGGGTAAAGAGACCGTAGCGACGATCACTCAGTGTCGGGTTGGCGATCACTCACTCACTCACTCACTAGACTTCGGCGCCTTGGATTTACCGAAATAAAGGTAAAGAATAAACAGTGGTAAAGGGGAGATACAGTATTTTCTTAAGAGTCTTCCTTAGTGGAAGCCATGTTGGATTTCTTCCCCATAAGAACAATGTTAAACATTACATCATTTGTGGACACGTAACGGCGTTATTTGTTAAGATATAGCTTTGAAATTTATAATTTGTATTTTTAACATAATAGACTCGTGACTGAGGTTTTTGAATTTCGAAAATCCATTTTCATTTCCTTTCAATAATTAGCTTAATTTTAAGCTAATTAATAATCAATTATTCATTATAAAAATTAAAAATTGTGAAATAAAAAACGTCAACCTCTAGAGGACCGCAATTCCTTAAATTTAACTCCTTATCCATAATTATATGACAATTTGCTGATGAGATATTTGGACCCAAAGTTAACATTGTTCTTATGGGGAAGAAATCCAACATGGCTTCCACTAAGAAAGACTCTTAACAGATCAACAACAACACACAAGTACATTGTACATTGTAGTACATTGTACAACAACACAAGTACATTGTATATTTACAATTTAGATTATCTATGATGATCGTACTGAATGAACGATGGGAAGCGAGCTGGTGTAGTGGTTAGAGCGCGGGACTTCAGTCCCTGAGGTCCCGGGTTCGATCCCCGCCAAGTCACCAATGGATTCTATCTAAGTGATAATGCCGCAACCCCTAGGTCTAGCCTGAAGTAATGTGAAAAACAATCCCAGGCTCGTGCCTAGCGTCCTAGGACAAAAAAAAAAACTGAATGAACGATAGTAACAAAATTATCAATAAAATGTTAAAATTGGACCAAGTCCGATTTGTCAGTGAAAAAAAAATCACGGGCGATATTGATGGTGGAAAAGACCCGAAAATTCAAAATGGGAGTTTCTTAACCTAGTAAATTATTTCTCATAACTCACACATTTCAAGAACTTGACAAAGGTCCGATCAAACGCCCCTAGAACAGCCCCAGTAGGCTCATCACCATTGACTATACACCTCTACTGTAGAGGTGTATAGTCAATGTCATCACGCAACGAAACTTCACAAGAAGAATACATAAGTGAAAATACCTACTATTTAAGGTAAGCATTGTTAAAACGTCTCAGTGAAAATTACCCAACTACAGAACAAATCAATCTTCCCTTTCAACAATGTCTAACTCGCATATCATCTCGACGTCAGCCTATCTAGGCATCGATTGGAGGTGGGACGTATGAATAGTAAT